CAGGCTCGGTAACGGCTGCAGAAGGCTGTACTGTAACAAGCTCGGGGCAGTGTAACTAGGAGATTGTCTAGTGCCGCTATTCAACAGACCTACATGTACATGACTGTACGTCCGCGGTCAAAACCTGAACGCCCCTGTTCTGACCGCGGTGTCATTCATTCTTACTTTCCGATCTCTTCTCATGTTTCCATGGCTGACTAATCACTCCCTCATTCATATAGACCGCTGCCATTGCAAGGTGAAGAAAACGCGTTGTGCAGGCAATTCCGTTCTGCTTCTAATAGTGAGAATAGCTACGCATACATAAGAGAAATAAACACTCAATCTCCAGATAAATATTCCTCAGCCTACTCAAGCTCAACTGATGAGGGGTGAATTCCCCGAAACACCGTGTATTGAGCAGGGAGTGGTGATTTATTGCAGGTTTGCCGAGTGGAAGGTTCGATGGACTTCTCGTGTGCTCTGGATGGCAGCCGTGAGTCAGTCAAGTGAGAATTCAAGTCGGTAGGAACAGCGCAAGCTCCCACGTAGGGAGCAACACACAATTCCCCACTTATCGCCGAAGTTGCACCAACTTCGCCTTCACATTGTTGTCCCCGGCGCGGGCTTCCGAACTAGATGGTTTGAAGGCAACAACGTTGTGAACGGCCAACGGTCCTCAGCGCTTGTTCAGCACCTCCATGCGCGACACTGACTCACGCTGCTATCTGGTGTTCACGAGGTGTTTGTCTCGCTGGAAACGGAGCGTCTCTGTAAGTTTGTATCCATGGTGATGTTTGTCACGCCTCGAGAGCACTATATACATAATTATAAGTGGTGCTCTTCAGGTACAATCTTCCTCAGCCTACTCAAGCTCAACTGATGAGGGGTGAATAACCCAAAACACTGTGTATTGAGCAGGGAGTGGTGCTTTCTTGCAGGTTTGCCGAGTGGAAGATTCGATGGACTTCTCGTGTGCTCTGGATGGCAGCCGTGAGTCAGTCAAGTGAGAATTCAAGTCGGCAGGAACAGCGCAAGCTCCCACGTAGGGAGCAACACACAATTCCCCAATTATCTCCAGACTGATAGCTAAAAGACGTAAACATGTGCTAGACTACGTGTAGTGCGATGTGGCTTCTACTTGCAATATAACCTTTCCATTCTGAACAAGAATACGGATGCATTATTAATTTTGTAGTTAGCTTTCTTCATTCCATTTTGCGCACATCCCCAAAGTACAATCATGTAGGTTAGAAAGAGGGGTTGCAGATTCTTGCTGCCAGGAAAGGCAGAGAATAGATGACTTGCACAAAGACTGTCTGGGTTCGAGACGGGGCAAGTGGACCTTCTGACTCTGACTTCCCCACCTTTTGAGTTCGTGACTTTCGAAGTTTCGCTTTTTGCCTGACGAACACTGAGCTAGTTTTTTTGGCTAGAGAGTACAGTTGTTTTGATTCGGCTTGTATCGTCATGCCGAAGCGCTGCTACGCTCCTGAATGCACTAGCAGACGAGAGATGGAACTGAGGCTCCCATTCCATACGTTCCTTTTCGAGCCGGCCGGCCGGGAGGCAGAAAAAATGAGGGAATATTATTTTAGTATCATTGGTGTAGGCTGCAACAAGCACGTCGTGGTCCTGAAGTGTGACTACTTTCCCGCAGTGGAAGCGAAGTCAAGCACAACGAAAGTTTGTGGACGTCTGAGAAAGAACTCGATTCCCTTCGATTCGGCTGCACTAGCTCCAGAGCGACCCCAGTCTCCTGAGGACAGACTGCGGAGAGGCCAGGAACCTGCCGAGTCAAGAGTGGAAGCCCAAACCACGAAAATGAGGCCCGGGGTGGAAGGACTGAGTGTGAGAGCCAGATGGCCTTTAGTAGTACTTCAAGTAGTATCTGAGTTGAAGGAGAGAACAAGTGTGCTGGAGAAACGCTGCGAAGCCCTCAGGCCTGATGTGTACTAGCTACTGTTGAAGTCTCACTTGTTCCGATATGAACACTTCATCAGCCCTTACTCTGAGCAGCTGTATCTAGACTTGGACTTAGGCCAGAGACATAGCATTGTAAACCTTACTGAAGCCATTATGTATCCAATGCCTGGCTCTAGTGAGAAAGCAGTTTGGCGCAAGCTCGCAAACTATGATTGAATCAGGGAGTGGTGGAAAGTCACATTATACCTCCCCATGATTAGCTGGTAATGACGACGATGCGGCTCCGGCTGGGTCTCAGTCTTAGAAAGGATTTGTTGGAGCATCATCAAACAGTGCATTTGCCTTCATCATACACTGGCTCCGTTGCCTACAGTAATTCACATTTTGACGGGGCGCGCTGGGACGATACGGAAGGAGCGGCGGGAACCATTGGAGTGCTCATGATGCTGGTTAGCGGAGACCGATGTGTCAGGAACGGGAACGCAACCGCACTACTGTACAGATCAGGAAGCGATGGAAGAGTTGAATCTGCTCAGCCTTCCATGCCGTGTACAGGGACACAAGCGTAAAAATGGCTACATTTCAAATGTGAACTGGCGATGGCATTGTGTGGCGACGAACACAACTGCAACTTTTCAAATTTCAGCATTTCGAACATTATGCTTCCCATGATAACTCACCGAATGGCTCACATGACGGAGTTGGACATTACCAGGCTAGGATTATCATTTGCTGTATTTATGGATAGTCCTTGAGTTTTCAGATAAAGTGCTTTATCTTTTACCTGTCGTTCCTTTAGTATGGCACAATGTCCATGGCTGCTTCCTTGTCTTCATAACAGCACGATTCTGCTTTTTTGAGAAGAAATAAAACTTTCCTTTCGGAAAGAAAGCCCAGAAACGTCAACCCCCATGGACTGTGCTTTATGACTCTCGTCCATTGACGTTAACCGTCGCAATCAAAATAATAGGAGATCCTCCAGATAGGCGTTAGCCTTTGGGTAATCCTGAAATAAAGATTATTATTATTAATAACTGCTGCATGTATGTTGTGCTGTGCGAACCGTACAAGATTTTACAGCTCACCCACGCCTACCCAACAGGCTCCTATATCCCGTACCGTTAGCGTTACATTGAATATGAACTAGGCTAGCACAGTTATCCTTCGTTCTTTTGATGGCGGCGGGTAGCATGGAACTTGACGTGTTCTTGGGATCCTCGTGCCACACTTGCTGTTCCCGGATGCCATATTATTGGGTGCATCGAGGTTGCTTCTATGCTCACTGTTGTTTAGTAAGGCAATTTTTTATAACTATTTCACCGAAGAATAAGGCAAGAGTTTTTTGGGTTGGTTTGGACGCCTGGCTTCTCTTCACATAATAATACAGTCATGTACTTCCACTCAGGGAGTAGTACAATACCTGCTTCCACTAACCCTGGAAGTGCACATGCATGACTCATGAGCTGCTGAAGACAGTGACGGTACTGATCATGTACATGTACATGCCGTGCACCGTTCATTCATGCTGACAAAAAAAAGTACACTACACTAGTCTACACTACAGACGATGTTGGGTGCCCGCAGTGTAGCCTGGGTGCACAGGGTGCACTTGCCCCGTCTCACTCGCGGCTCGGATCTTTGTGCAAGTCATCTATTCTAACTAGCCCTTGGCGAATAATGCTCGAACAATTGGCAGCGAGATTCTGCTCGAAAATCAGTGATATTGGCAGAACCATACACACTTTATGGCAGGCATGTCCTTGAACTCTGCTCCAGTTCCTTATCCACATACCAAACATGCATGAGCAAATTCTGCAAATTTTTCTGCCAGCATTATCCGCCTAGCGCTACTTCTGTATTTTTAATGGATTCTGACTACATCATCCTGTAAGTTCTAAGCGTACAGTATAGGCCAACAAGTAAGTGCAAGAGCCAGTAGATATCCCCTGTTTCAATGAGGCCTGCGTGGTGAAGGTGGTGCACATGCATCTCCTCCGACCCCATACTGAAACCCGAGTCGCACGACGACAGTACAATTATTTGGACACCCTCAATTACATGTACATGTAGCTGCTTAGGACAGTTCACCCACGCCAGGCCACGAGTCCACGAGTCCACGACCATACCTAATGTGCTTCCGGCGAGTACGTTACCTTGCCATGAAAAATCATGTAGAACGATCCCCTTATTAACTTCCGGAGTCATATCTATGATTCGACCACTGCTTCATCATGTGTGCGCTAATCCGCTAGCATGTACAATGGCCTCGGCTACTGGCATTTAGCAGAGGGTACACGACTTAGACGAAGGATAATGGTTTCATCCTGGAGAGTTTCCAGGACATGCATCATCCTGACCCTATTTGCTGATGGATCTTGAACAGTTGTACTTTATGCAACTAACACACTTAGCCTGCTCTGGATTGAGGCTCCACATCATGGCACATGGCAGTGTCCCATGCAGCCACCTCACCTGATTGCCCCATGCTGCAGCTTGGTTTGACAAGGCCAAGGCCAATGGGGGGGGGGGGGGGGGGGGCCTTCAGTGACTGTCGACACATTCCTTGATACGTTACAGCCACCATGCAAGGCCAGTACAGTGTTCAACGCTTTGTGCATGTGTCGTGCGCTAAATACTTCCACTTTGACAGGTTGAGAGCTTGGACGTTTGACATGGCACTCCTGCGTCTGTGACGTCACACGCACGTCACGGTTCACTCACAGCCTGAGTTTGTCTTTCAGAAAAAGGTTTGGATGGAAATTCTGACAAGGATGGCCTACCCATGTCTTTTCCTTCTATGGGAGGTGGACCCCAACTGGATTGGAGAGGTGTCAGGGAGCCAGACGGCAGTCCTAGCCAAGGCATCTGCAGCTATCCGACCACCATCACAATGGCCAGATCTTCGTCTACCGACATGCGGCCGGCTCTTTCAGCCTGGCTGTAGCCTATCGCCTGTACTGTGTACATGTACATGATGTCGGGCTGCATGCTGTAGGATCTACCATTGCAATGATGTGTACTGGCGTGGCAAATCCCCGCAGACCACAATACTGCAGGCAGCACACCTATCCTTAGACTTAGTCTCGCCTACGACATGTGTAGTGCAGCTACAAGCACAGAAGCTACTCACCGGGTCTGTCTGACGATTCGCGGATGCTGGAATGGTGCTCATGCAATGATTGGGTTGCAAGTCGCACATGATTTGGTCAGATCAACACAAACCCGCCTGTTTGCTTCTCGGACTTTATTTGACTCGGTAGCAATGAGCAATTATTCGCTGTGAGTAGCCTTTCTCTGTCCACCATTTACCTCATTTGCTGCATGCGCTATGTGACCGCGCGAAGAATACGTCCGTGGGTGCTGGTATTCCTTAGCGTCCAGCTACAATTGACGAGGCAGCTATGTCCACAATGAGAGGTCCGCGGTGCGGTTCGGAGAAGATCTTGCTGACAATTGGACTGGTCTGCTATCATGTACTTGGGGCATCAGCGCAGAATGGTAAGCCGGGTATACAAGTACTTTGGAATCCGAACTGTTTACATATCTGTGAACGACGCCGGTATGAGTGTCACTACCTCCGTGTCACTGCCCTCAAACTAGTGGGCACGTGTGTCCTTAGCCGATTCCGGCCAGCCTGTGCTCATTTCCGCTGCACACAATTAATAATACTAGTATTTGCATTTTTGAAGCAACTCCGGAAAATTCGCTTTTACGGGCCAAATACTGCTCCTGTGTTGTTTCTTGACCTAACTAAGTCTGTGGCTGGCTAGATGATGAAAGGGTGTGTGTGGGTCATAGCTGGGTATGAACTGGATAGAATACATGTACAATGTCATGTTCACGTTCTGTTGTACATTGATGTTGGTACTGTGCATGTGAGCGACCTTAGTTGGATTGGTACCACTGGGGTAGTACAATGTACATGCAGTGGCATGCTGCTGCTGGCATGAACAGTCGTGGCCAAAGAAATCCGACCAGCGAGTCAAAGGCAGCACAGTGTTTCCATTTCAGGTTCATTAGGCCCATACGAACACCGCAAAGGCCGCATCATCGGAGTTTGGCGCTGCTTTCGGTTCCCGGGTCGGCTTTCTCTGGCCACAACTGCAGTACCAAAAGTACGTCACTCAAGTTAGGGTGTGTAAAACTTCACCGATAAAACTATCGCAATTCTTTTTCAGAAGTAGGTCACTTTCCAAGATGTTATCCATTAAGCCTTTTGCGCGTTGTACAGATGTACGAAGTTCAGTACTAGGGCGTAGGTGTGTACAGAACCGATTGGGTGTTCATTGTGTGCTATGCATGCGCATTTGACCAATTTTAACCTCATAATTAATGGCAAACAACCTCTTTTCCAGCTTCTTCACTTTGGTTAGAACTAATAACTAGCTAGGTCTTTGTCAGCAAAGGTGTTCGTTTGAAATGCCTTCAGGCCCCATTTCTTAGTGGAAATAGCAGAAAACACAATAGGGTCCTGCACATTCAACACCCATTAGGTTCTACGGGATTCTACGGGATTTCGTGCATCTGTACAACGCGCAAAAGGCTTTTTGACTGTACCCGGGAGCGCACGGCACGCGGTCAACCTCAAACCTCGCCTGCATACATAGACCTGGTTTCATCATGAAATGACCAAATTCTGAAAACAAAGTCATGCAGCTACCCATGAAGACCTGCACGCTCTTGGGGGCACGTGCTCATGGTACTGTAGTACCAAGAGTACATGAACTAGAGTGACTGAAGCAGTAGCCGGGAAAGTGTATACCTCGCCATTTACATCATTTTGACATCAAGCCTTTGCAGGTGTGAAAAATGAATCATCTAATGAGTAAAATGATGAATTCCACTGTCCTGAACCCGGTATATCCAGAGCTTTGCACTCGGCTTGTACCAGATGTATACGCTTGGTAGAACACTGAGATTTGCAGAGCGAACACATGTAAGAATGTTCAAGTTGGAACTGCTCAGAAGATTTAGAATCATACCCAAAGAGCACTTCATCAATCTCCGGGAAAACATAGAAAAATGACTGAAAGATAAAGATATAGCCACGTAAGATGCCGTTTGTATTTACTCTTTAGTACCAGTAGACTCTTCACTGATAAAGAACACAAAGTTTTCATTGCGATCCACCCGTCCCCTATCCATCAACCCCGGCAGATGAAAGACATTTGACTGTATTTTGAAACGGGTACTAGTGTATGAGCACCAGGCAGGGAGTCTGGCTTAGCATACACTGCCATACATGGAGATGACACTGAAGAATGTGCCACTAAATGATGTGGATTTCGCTCGTGGGCAGCCTGTTACCGTCACTCTTGGGGGAGAGCCGAATCACTGTACTCGCTCGATTAGAGCCCTCTCTTGAAAAGTATCTTGTCTCGAATAGTGCCCTGTCCCGAATAGTGCCCTGTCTCGAATAGTGCCCTGTCCCGAATAGTGCCCTGTCTCGAATAGTGCCCTGTCCCGAATAGTGCCCTGTCTATGAGAGCCAATGAAAAAACATAGCCCTCTCTTGAATACTGTGCGCCCGCCAGCCAGGAGTAAACTTTAGCCTCTGTTATTCTTCTCCCTCTTTGTTTTTGTGCTGGATGACATAGATATACATGTACCAGCATGGAAATAGTGTTGCCCTCTCTTCAATAGTGCCTTCTCTTCAATAGTTCCCCATCTGTAACGGACAAAAATAGAAAATAGCGGCCCAGGGGCACTAATCACGCTAGTACGGTATGCAATGACATGCTCGCATATGGCATTACTTGTCCGGGCCATGCTCAGGATCAGCAGGTCAATCCTGCGATCACCATCGTGAGTTGTGTAGACCAAGGACGATGTACAGCTTCCAAAACCGTGGTCAAAACACACATCGTTTCAGGTACTATGATCCCATGCCGTCTCCCTGTATGCTACGAATCCCTGAGGAGTACTAAAAATGGAAAGTCTGGAACTGCTGCATAGCTTTCATTTCCCAGCTTACACACTATGCAGCATGACAATCACTTTTACACTGTCTTCTAATGACGGTAAGAACTTGGCAGAAGAGCCGTGAAATTCCATTGGGTAGTACTAGAAAATAGCGCATACAGCAATCGCATGCAGCAAACTTTGCTGGCATTTGAAAGGTGGGTTTGAGATAATAAAACAGAGATTGTGCCAAATTCGATGAAATGTGTTTTGTTTTTCCAATCTGTATGGCTTCAGGGTCCAGCTCAGGTGGCTTATCTGGTGGGACTGTGGCAGGTGTGGCCGTCGGATGTTTGCTGGCTGGCGTGGGCATTGGAGTGCTTGTCGACATGTTCCTCATACAGCGGGTCAGAGAGCGGAGAACAGCGGGTCCCAGCATGGGCAGAAAATCTGCCACGGATGACCAGCTCGCTGAGAGAATTGTGACGAACCCGTATGAAAGTAGTGCTGAGCGGGTCACGTTTAACAATCCAGCGTTTCACAGAGACTCGATGTCAGACCCATCTGACGTGGAGTCTGGATCGAATCGCAGCTCGCCAGGCGACTCTAAGGCATCATCAACATTGGGAAAGATGACCAGGCAGCCATCTGTACAGTGGCCACAATGGACATCAAGTGGTAGTCAAGGTGCCATCAAGAAACAATGGCGCGAGAGTGTGGCAAGCAAGAAGTCAGAGATAGGAGATGTTGAGGCTGGAGTGACAGATGCTGTAGCAGATTTACCCAAGACGGGATGGTTCTCGGCATTGGTCAAGAGGCTGCCTAAGTTCAAAGTTAGCATACCAGACTCCCCAGTTCAAGAAGTTGACGCTCTGGCAGCTAAAGTAGATGAGGAAGGTGTACTACCGGTCACCGATATGAGCGCTATATTGGATGAAGTTGATCAGCTAGCAAGAGAGATTGACAGCATGCCATCTTCATTCCCCTCACAAAAGCCAAGTGCTCTTACCGAGCAAGCTTTTGGCCAAGTTGCTTCTGCTGTACCAGGGAGTGATGCTATGGATTCGGCTATTGCAGCGCTTGTTGATGAGGCACCTCCACAATTGCCTCCGACGCCGGACATGTCGAAACTCGATGAGCGGGTCGAGATACCCAAGATAGCGAAACGTCCAAAACTGACCGCTGGCATCAGTAGCAGCAAGCTCACAACAAGCAGCAGCAGTATGGGCAGTGCAGGAGCAGCTGCTGCCGCAGAGACCAAGATTATACCGAGTGAGACCCTCTCTGCTGCTAGTTCAGCCATGCCAAAGTTTGAACACAAGCCACTCGACTCCAAATCAACGGCAAAGCTCATGGGCAATCCTTTCCTTGCAAGTGACAAGAGAAAATCACCAAGCAACACCGATGGCAAAATGCCTGAGATGAAGAAAAGGTCCAGTGGAACCGCTCATCTGGCCGATAAATTCAAGCAAGAAGAGGCCGCATTCAAACGACCCTCACTTCGCAGTGTGGCATCAACCAAGTCCAGTGGCAGCGACTCTGGCAAATCAGGAGAGCATTCTATACCCGGCAGTGCTAGCTTGGGCTCAGAATTGAGCCAAGCAGCTGGTCCAGGGTTTACAAAAGTGTCCTTGCGAAAGGTAGATCGAGGCAAATCTCCACCCTCTGTAGCCGATGCTTCTACAGCCAGTAACTCTCTTCAGCAGGCCATGTCAGGTCTAAAGAAGACAACTCCCGAGTTGCCTCCTGATCGGCCGACACCAGAATCAAAGCCTCCAGTCCCAGAGCGACTGCCAGAGCCCCTGCCCACAGAGTCAGAGGTTGATCTGATGGAGGCAACGGATGATATGTACTGTGATCCAGACCCAACAACACCGATTCCACGCTCAGCATCTTTCCCTGCGACACCCACCAGCATGCAACCAGCCAGCGTAGATCTAGCAGCTGTGACCGCCAGCCAAGATGAATACATCTTACCAGAAGAGGCTTCCCCGGCACAGCCGTACATGCAGGAGGATTACATTGAGATGGCCGAAGGCGTTCCAAGCCCCGCAGAGCAGAACCTGCCAAGCACACGCCAGCTGCCTAAGCCGAACGGCAAAACACCTGGCTATATGCAGTTGGCAGACGCAGTGACGGGAGACAACAACGAGTATCTAGATATGACTGGCACTCTTCCTAAAGCGCCCCAGGTCGCCAAGAGGAAGATCTCCGATGCCAGGTCACCAATGGCACAGCCGGGCAGCGCCATTTTACAGAAGGGGGCTAAGCAGGCCAAAAAGGCCAAGGAGGCCAAAACCGGTGGCTTCTTCAGTCGACTTTTCAAGTCCAAAGCAAAAGCACCCGCTCCAGCCAATGCAGCAACACCAGCCCAGCAAGCAGCTCTCTCTAAACTGCGACCTGGCTGGCGTGTGGCATCTACCTCGTCGAGTGTCAAGCATGCTGATCTACCCGTACCCGCCCCGCCGGAGTGGGTACAGCAGCTGCATCAGAAAGGGCGGCAAGCCTATGATGGCAATGACATCTATGAAGAGTACGGCGGCGATGCAGACGGCGACATGTACGAAGAGCTTAACACAAGCCCTCGGCAGCATACTGTCGACAAGATTGCCAAGCCCAGTGAGGGACGAATGCTGATAACAGCGCAGGCCAAGGAGCAGGCCATAGCCGACCTGCAGGCAACGCCCATGCCCAAAGGTAACGTCAAGCGACTCACCAGCCATTGGGTAAAGAAACAGGTGTGACGTGCATAGCACGGGACTCTTTGGCTTGCATGTGTGTGTGTGTGTGTGTGTGTGTGTGTGTGTGTGTGTGTGTGTGTGTGTGTGTGTGTGTGTGTGTGTGTGTGTGTGTGTGTGTGTGTGTGTGTGTGTGTGTGTGTGTGTGTGTGTGTGTGTGTGTGTGTGTGTGTGTGTGTGTGTGTGTGTGTGTGTGTGTGTGTGTGTGTGTGTGTGTGTGTGTGTGTGTGTGTGTGTGTGTGTGTGTGTGTGTGTGTGTGTGTGTGTGTGTGTGTGTGTGTGTGTGTGTGTGTGTGTGTGTGTGTGTGTGTGTGTGTGTGTGTGTGTGTGTGTGTGTGTGTGTGTGTGTGTGTGTGTGTGTGTGTGTGTGTGTGTGTGTGTGTGTGTGTGTGTGTGTGTGTGTGTGTGTGTGTGTGTGTGTGTGTGTGTGTGTGTGTGTGTGTGTGTGTGTGTGTGTGTGTGTGTGTGTGTGTGTGTGTGTGTGTGTGTGTGTGTGTGTGTGTGTGTGTGCGTATGCCTGCAGTTGAGTAGCTGACCACCTGGACATGAGTATAATTGATTGCTATGCATACAGTTTCCCGGGCTAACATCCCGCTGACTTCGAGTTATAACTCTTATTTTATAATACAAAATTAATAATGATCGTGTTCACGTTCCTGGATCAGTCGAAGCACAGGCTAGCTTTATTGTATAGCTGCAGGAATCCATAGAAATAACAAGCAACAACTTCTTCATTTCTCCACTCAGGAATCAATGACATGGCTTCTGCTGTTGCGTTAAAAGATATAAATGCAGTTGCATAATGTCCACAGACTTCTTAGTTATCACTTTACATTGATTATAACATAATATTAGTACGTCTAATGGCATAGTAAATCTTGGAAGTTCTGATGGACCTCGTTCCATAATAATTATTGATTTGGCTCATTTGGGTTCAACACAATGCATATGCTTCAAGGCGGAATTAGAATTCATTGACTATAGAATAAATTATGGCACAAAATGATAATGTAGATCGAGACACCATGCTGGCACAGTGTTGACATCTTTTACGAGGAGAAATGAGAATAACTTTGGCACGGCGTGGTATGAACTTGAAGGAATGAGTACTAGTAATTGAATGTACAATGTACGTGTGAGAATGATCATCACGGCGTATTATGCCGCATGCCACGGAGCACGCTGCTGTGGTAAGCGGTACTGGCCAAGCTTCTCTTTCCGGACATGTCGTCAATCATGCTTTCCAGTCATCATGCCATCTTATCAATCATCATCCATTCCACTGAATCAACTGCTGGTCTGCCCATCAGCCTCCACCCGCCAAGCACACACGCCTGAACAAGAACAATAGTATGGAGTGTGTGCATGGTTGCGTTAGCCCGCGTGTGAGTGCATCCATTCACCAGTGTGACGTACATGACAAAACAAGGTTTACCTAATACAGGTCTGCTCTCGATATAACAACTCTTACTTGTACATAAACCTCGCTAGTACATAAAAAAAATCAAATCCCGCGCCGAAACAGCATCACTCCCATACAAATGTTGTTCTACACAACATAAACCTCGACATAACACACGCTACGGCGGTCCCCGACGTGCGAACTCTCGATACAACATAAATTCGCTTGCACGGTACGATCAAGCGGTAGCTGTAGCTAGGCAGTTTAGGCCAGTTTAGTCCTACATAACGTAAACCTCGGCATAACGCACCCTATGGCGCAGTCCCCGACGTATGCACTCTCGATACAACGTAGATTCACGTGCGCGGTACAATCAAGCTGTAGCCGTAGCTAGCCAGTTTATCCTTATTGTGCATATATTCTGCGGCATTGATGGTATCTGATGTCGATGGTGGTACAGTGTGTATATGTTTGCACGGTTGAACCCGCCTTGTAATACCCTTCATTTTGAGGTGCATCTTGTATTTTACACACGGTTTTCTACATAACATAACTCTCGATATAACATACTTTTTGCGTGGTCCCAGAGATTACGTTATAATATTTATGGAGAGTAGACCTGTAGTAATACCATGATGAGCACCTGTAGGTATATGCAAGCATTGCTTGATAGCTGGCATCGTCATACATGTAACCTACATGAGTTGCGGATTCCTGATAGCGAACCTTCTCTGTTTCTTTTGAAATTTCACAAGGGCATGTATACGTATGTGCACTATGGGGAAGTTCGTTTGGGATCTACAGGTTTCAGCAGAAACTACAAGTACAATGTACATACACTTCTTAATCTTTTCGTAGATGCGTTCCTTTATTTTCTGCCCCAAAGGTACATGTATAATTATTATATTACTTCATGTAGTATACTTTCCTCTACCGGCTCTGCCAGGTTTGAGGCGTATAGAAGTTAGTTGGTATTATCAAGAATACAATAAGTATTACTACATAACCTGGGGGTTATGTACTCTTGGTATTATTATAGAGATAAAAGCACATGACTGTACAGGATTTCAGTACACCGGAATCCACCCTGATTTAGCTGCTTTCAAAATATAATTACTATTAATGGTTGTAGTCAGGAGCACTGTGCGTCCTCACCTTGTAACATGCTGTCGACGCTGTACTGTTGCAAAGATAAGGCTGTGCATTGACGATCTACCAACATAATTATTAGTGAGGTTTTGCATTCCGAATTTCGGTTCGGCGCTCTTCGGTCATTTGTCGAACATCAAAATGTCGAATTTTCGGACCAACATTTGTTTTGCAAGTCGAAAATGATGTGTTTTCATTTCGTGAGCCCTAGCATCAGCAACGTCCTGTTCCGTGCTCCTATTCTTGCTGATTCCAACGAACTTTGATCGCCCTAAGAGCCGAGGGCCAAACCTGTCTCCTCAGTCGCCTCAGAAAACCAACTCCATAGCCAAGTCAAATTTTATGAGTATCGCCATAGTCTTTTCAGCCACACAGATGACGGTGAGGACACTCCAGGCGAAAGAGAGGAGACAAGCAGTGGAGGAGCAATCAGAGGTAGCTGACGACGCTGATGTCGCCTGGGCCGGGAAGCGATGCCGAGATAAGAAACCTCTTTGAATAAATCACGCTCTAGCGCTAGCGCTCTTCTACAGAAAATTCATCCGAAAAATATTTTCGGCAAAGTGAGCTTTTTCCGAACAAACATGCCGAATCTTCGCGTGCATTTTCGACCTCGCTCCCGCGTGCCGAATCTTTTTGCCGAATTTCGGAATGCAAAACCTTCGGAATGCAAAACCTCGCTATTATTAATGATAATTTTTATGCTCGTAGATCGTCAATGCAAAGACTTGGAGAGGGGGGGGGGGGGGGGGGGGGGGGCGTTCGTTTTTGACCTACAGGTTTGCATAGAAACTACTTCTTTCGGTAGAGGTGTTCGTTTTTGAAAAAAATTCTACTCAAAAGGGTAGATTCTGCTTTTCTCTACCAGGAAAAAAGTTGGTAGAGCGACGGGATTTCCAGCAAAATCAAGGATTTGTACACAACTCCATAGAAAAGATAAACATTTCACGTACGCTCGTACATATCGTGCAAACCAGGGAGTAGTACAATACGTATTGTACTACTCCCTGGTTTGCAATACGTATTGTACTACTCCCTGGTGCAAACTACTAAATCCAGTAGAACAGCGTTCGTGCACTTACCTCTACCATCTACCTCTATCGGTTAAAAACGAACGCAGCGTTCGTGCACTCACATGTGCTGTTATTCTGTACCAAACCGACATACTGTACGTACAGGCATAAAATTTAGTCGATCAATAATTTCATTGAGCAGCATTGTACGTAATGTACTTGGTTGTCGTCCCTGTACACATACACGTAATTGCATTGCACGTACAGTAGAGTCGCACGCTGAAGAAAGTTGAGCCCAAGAACGCCCAGCCTGAAATGCTAAGAACGCCACAGCCCAAAAGTTAAGAACGGAGGTGTTGGCTTTCCGGCAGCTTTTGGGATAGATATGATCCAGTACGAATTGTTTCTAAGAACATGCTATAACAAGGCAGCCAGATTGCCCAACAAAATAAGAACACCCCAGTCTAAACCCTTGGGAACAACGGTCTTGGACGCGGGACTCCACTGTAGTATCGCCAGCGTACATGTTCATCGGCAACACGACTCACGCGCTCACCTACCGATTTCACAAGGGCATACGAGTGTGGAGTGTGGACATATTTGCTCTTTTATACAGGCCATTATATGCGGCTTTAAAATCCAACCGCATCACATAATCAACAATTCAATACGGAGTAACGGGAAGGGGGCATGAAAGCACTGCACCAAGCAAGAACAATAATTATTTTATCACTGCAGTAGCTTGGTGAGTGCCAGTGGTAGAAATATGTTCAACAAAAATAATGCAGAATCTATAAAAAACAACATACAAGAATAACCAGTGATCACAGAAAAAAGCAGAAAAGTTACGGGCTATTAGCATTTGGGCCAGCTGGGAACCTGGGTTGAGTGCTTCAAAATTCCTAGGAAAGTGGCAGTAGCAGTGCTGCCGATTTCAAACCTGCAACACATGGCGACAAAAAGCAATAAATACATTCAACAATCAGTCAAAACTACTTCGAAAAGCACAGCAGCCTACAAAGCACATATTTACAACAGGCAAATTGCTAAACGTCAAACACTTGACAACAGTCAAGCCAGCCAGCCAGCCAGCCAGCCAGAGAGAGAGAGAGAGAGAGAGAGAGAGAGAGAGAGAGAGAGACCCAGTAAGGTTCAATTTTATACGTTGGAAACTACACTAGTACTCTATCACCAAGAGCCCATAACCCCATGAACAGGCAATTGTGAACATGGAGTATGGTGCACCGCACTGCCCACATCAGGCAGGTTTCACTCTACGTAATTACGTACAGATCTGTACGTCGTACCCGCCGGGGAGCGAGGGCAACTTTTATACATAAATCTCTCTACGGATTTCCGTAGGAAAGCTCTTTCCTACGTTCAGTCATCTGTAGGACATTTTGAAATATTTGTCGCATTTTCCAGATTTATCCATGGCAACGTGCAAGCCGCGCAAAACACAAGGCACACATCACGCGTGCTTAGCAGCTGTGGAGAAATCAAGTAGAGCAAAATACAACAGTGCTGATTTTACGCAAATGACGTGCTGCTCCTATGTCATTTTCATACTTAATAGCTACGGACTAGGAAGTCAGCTGGGACATTGCACCATTATTGATCTTCTACGGTTTCCAGCTTGAAGCTTCTATCCATTGCGTACAGGCTTTGCAGTACGTTACACAAATACAGGTGGAATCCTGATAAATCGAATACGGCGTGATTAGAAGTTTTTTCCTGGCATTTTTGGGTTCGAATTATCAGGATTTCACCTGTGTACTGCAATACAGTGCAGTTATGGGGCGGGTAGTAGAAAATATGTCGGTATTTTTTTTTAATAAATTCGATATCTGCAAAACGATATACACATTTTAGAGCGTACAGATGTTTACTGGTTTTGACAGCCAGAATTTATTAACATTTCACTTTGGTAAACAATAATGCGGAATGGCGTAAAAATATGCGGGCTTACAGTACATGCACCGTAAAGTACGGCCACCAGTCAGGGAAAGGAAAACCGTATGGCAGAGTGCAATGAATTTGCACGGTGCGAGAACCCGTGTACTAAGTTCACACTTAGCAGGTTATAGTGTGGAGCTCGTGTCCGCTCGAAGATAAACTGAGTACGGATTGACCACATAACGTGCAATGAGTGTACAAGGTCCATGCCGTACGACCTACAGACAGGACACCACGTCAACCATACGACCACCAAAGGACGAGATGGTGGAACGCTCCCCCAGTACTTAACGGTACTAGTACCTAATTTTGGCCAATGGTGTTATCAAAGTGCAACTTGCTCAATTTATTGCGTTCGTCTTCACGGAAACATTTCTTGTCTTAAAATAAAAGAGCACAGTGGGTGGCAAGCGAAATCCTACCCCAGGAGCAGTGTGACTACACCGACATCCAGGAATGGACAGTGCATGCATGCGTACAAGCGTACCTGTGTTTGCATTTGTCATGTATCCACAGCTGTAGGCACGATGTGCCAACCACCGTGAGCCATGTGAACACCGTGTTCCCCACCTCATATGGGGATGCATACAGACTACATACAGTGAAACCTGTCTAAGACGACCGCTCAAGGGACCTTTAAAGACTTGCGGCACATATGGATCAAGTGCTGTGAGCGTTTGCCATCGGACACTCTTGGGGCGTGTGCACTACTGATATGCGTAAAGACTCTGAATTTAAACCAAGCAGACACAGCTATAAATCGACAAACTCACCTGCAAATAATAGAAAGATCATGCCGTTGGCTACGGTCATCTCACCGTACCAATGGGGTCTGTTTTAAGTGAAGGAGAATACTACGCATACGCGCAACATCCTTGGTGTTCTTGCTGTTTTTCGGGTTGAAGTCGACGAAACGCGCTACCCGTTCCCATTCAGAACCAGGCGTGTCCTCGTCACGTTCACGAATAAATGCTTCCTCTGCAGAACTGCATGTTTGTGCAACATTCAAGCACACAGACAACACAGAAGAGTCGAGTACTTAGCATTCACTAATAGTGAGCGAGTTCTACCAACAGCAGGCAAGTAGAACACAAACATGGCATCTTGTCAACACATCAAATGAACACCAAAATCACCAAGACAAAGGCACCACATGTAAGGCACCACATGTTTCAATGCAGAAGTAGATTGGTGACCTGAACACGTGAACACCACATGACAGTTACATGTATGTACACGTTTGCTGACTTCCATTTTGGCTCCCCAGAGGAGCAATAGCTGTTAGCATTACAGGCCTGAGCCGGTCTGGACCGATGTCAATTGGACATTGTTCTGACCATGGCTGCCAGCAGACAAAATGCAGTGAGCTAACTGAGCTTACAGTAGCAGAGCCATGGCGCACGCGCAACTCACCGATTATCAGATTTCGTCTTGTCCAGCTGTTCATCTTGCCGTGCTTCCCAGTCGGCAAGATCTTGTTTTGCCTGGTCTAGCAAAGATTGGCGCTCTTCTTCTGCTTGGCGGTCCTTCTCGGCCAAAAGCTGCTCCTGGTCGGCACGCCATTTCCTGGTACATGAAACCACAAAAACACACATTTAGAAAAGCGATCCTGTCAGCGTTTCTATTATTGTGTAGAAAATGAATTAGCATTTGCAGTTTCCATTCTGGTACAATCGGGACATGTCCTTGCTGCCCCGGTCTGCTGCGACCTTGAGCAAAGAGGGTACTGTCATTCTGTGACTTATTCTGGCATGTCCTCCAACATTCACATACAGACACATGTACGTGCTGCTCATTATTCACGGTACTCGAGCTTCTGGACACAGGGTACTGTAGGTGATAACTTTTATATTGTAAAAGATACTGTAGATCACCGCATTTGCAGGAGTATAGTGTGCATTTTAGATGCACTATTTCAGACTCAAGCTGGCAGGTGAGCACTATGCACAGCTTATGAAATACATGTACAGTCAGTGAAACCTGTCTAAGACGACCGCTCATAGGATCTTCAAAACGTGGTCTCTGTTACCAGGTGCTCTCCTTATCCAGGGTCATTTGACTGGAAATAGCACCCCTTGATCTTGCTTTCAGTGGTCTTCAAGGACAGGTGGTCGCCTTATTCGAGTGGTCGCCTCGACAGGTTTTACTGTACTACAAAAAAGGTAGCACAGTGGATCAAACTGGTGCGAGATTCGCCACAAGCCACACCCTACACCATTTGCTGGCTATGCAAATTGAGTCTGTATCTAATATCTGTCAAGCTCCGTATTTTGCTTAGGAAAGCAAGCAGCCAGCCGAAGCATTGCCAAGACTACCACTCAGGTTGTGCATTGTACTTCGAAGAAACCATGATAACAATTATGTTGGTCGGGGGGGGGGGGGGGGGAGGGGTGCAATATACTCCGGCAAATTATGGTATACGTCGTACAAGGCTCTTCGAGCCAATGGCTACACAAGAAATTCCAATTCATACTACTTCAGACCACCACACTTCACTCAAGCACAACTTTATTGCAAGAACAATTTAATAACAGTGCGATAAACAATTGGGAATGCGAAATTGGCCGATAGCCTTATCCAGAATGAACTTCACCAATTGCCCAACTAGTCAACATCATATGTGTAGCTACAGCAGTGGAAAGTGTAACCCGGACTAATGAGCCACTTTCTGAGCCACAAATGATTTTGATGAATTTGTCTGTTTTGAGTACATGTACGTGTGGTGTAGAGAGCTATAGATAGAGGGAGAGGGGGAGAGGGGGGGGGGGGGGGGGGGAGGGGAGGGGAGAGAGAGAGAGATTGTGTGTGTATGTGTGTCGGCCAGAGTAACCAACACAGACCGTAGCTCCTTCTGCATCGTTTGCAATTGTGGTCGGCGTTTCAGTAGACCACAGGACCTATCCCGTCATCGCCCCTACTATTCCGAACCTGCCTCACCCCCCCCCCCCCCCCCCCCCCCCCCCATGGGGTCCGCATAGCCAGAATACGGCAGCGCGTCCAAGGCGTGTGTGCATGCCGTGGCCGTTGTGGGACATCTGTCCGGATTTTATCTCTCATGGATGTTCCTGATTATAGTTTACAGAGTCCCTGTACCGCTGTATGCCTTCCTTTTGTGGCTAGGGCATTTCGTCCGGGCCTGGAGGCCTGAGATGTGTAGGGCCGGTTATTACATTACACCAAGTCACACATTATTCGTTTGTGTAAACTAGCCCCAAGTACGAATCTATGATGGTTGAGAGCTGTTCAAGTGCATGTAATGGTATGATTCTATTGAAGGAGAAAGACTGGTTAGCAGCGTCCTCAAGAGAAATGTGAGCTTGCATTAAATCCTGACACCACTGGTTATGTAGCCAACAGGTAGTTATTACAAGCAGTTGCTGTACCGTCCACAATAAAATGTTGTACACCAATGACAGGTCATACAAAATATGCTTGAGAGACGGAGGTCATTATAACAGAAACTGTGTAGTGTGTGAATCCATTACCAGTACAATGAGAATCTTACCTAACTGCTTCGGGCTCAGTCGCAAACACGTCAGCACTCTGGATTGCTGAATAAAGATCATTTGACTGAGGCTACAACAACAGGGACAGGACAGCCATGTTCCAAGAAAGCTATACAGGTCCCTGCATAACCAAACCGAACTAACCTCCTCTTCAGCCTGTTCGGATGCCCCAAAAGCATCGCCAGCCTGTGATATGCGGACAGGTACAGGAAAAACTCGGATAAGTCTCCACAAACAACTACACCTATCAGCTCAACTCAGTAAGTACCGTGGGGGCTGCTCCTCCAGCAAACGTTAAATCGTCATCTCCTAATTCTGCTAGGGCTCCCTGCTCCCTCTGCAAGAAATCAGCAGCTGGATCGCTCTCCGTATGCTGGGGAGATTCAAAGTCTAGATCCGCCATCTTCTCTTGCTACTGGGGAAGAGGAAGATAGTGCGCATGCGTGAGATGTCAAAAATTCAAAGAGCTTGAAAAGCGGCACTCGCTTTTCTTTGCTCTGTGTTTGAAATTTTTGCATGCGAAGAGCTGAAGACTTGGTCCGTCGCCTCGTGTTGTACTTGTAGTGCTATGTGGCATGCTTTCTGCCAGTTCGGGTTTGGACTTGGAGTACAGTAATGTTTCGTGCAAGGAGATGCGGCTAGTATAGGTGTGACGGCCGAGTTGAGACTGGATCATGCAGTACAAAACGATCGAACGAAAATTTTGCACGTGGTCAACCTCCATTTCACGTCTCAGCGGACTTCTCGTCCTGTCGTAACTAATGTTACTTGTCAGGAATGGACTGACGTATGTCACTCTGTGCTTGCTCCATGTACTCCAGACCCTCTCTTTGACCAGTTTGGACCACCACCAGTGTATCCAGCTTGAGAAATGACTATGACCATAGCAAAAGTACATCAACCATTTTCTGTAAACTACAAGTAAGTTACAAGCTGCGTGTGTACAATTACGCTATGTACAGTCCATTTCAAAACTATACTAGTAGACGCGTAGGTTTTTTGAAATATTCCAATATTTGGCTGGAACTTTTTGAGAATAGTTTTCGGAATATTGCTCAGGACCGCTCCACAATTACTCTCATAATTATAGTTTCTAAACGATTGGATAATAGGCCATTCACACGACGTGCAAACATTTGCACGCGTGTGACCAAGATAACACGGGCAAACCGTGATCCAGTTCACACGGTGCTGGGCAAACTTTGCAACCGTCAATGTATCCATAGTGACCTCCCCAAAATGCCGGGAAATGTTAAATTTTGAATTTTCCTTTGTTCAAGCACTGCATTTGCAGTACGCACTTTCAACAACCGACACTTTTCCTGGCGTGCAAAGATAATCGCGAGCCAAAGGGCCTCGGCCAAGATAAAAAATCAGTTGCACGCGTGAGTCCAAGTTTATCGTATCCGAGTAAATATCCTTGGAAACAGTACGATAAAAGTGAGTTTGCTCGTCGTGTGAATGGCCTATAACAGACGCTCAATTTGGAAAATTTTATGCACAAAGTGATCACAGATTTTATGTGGTATACTGTAGAGGCAGAAAATTTCGTCGGTCAATAATTTCGTCCACCTCCAAAGAAAAGGAGTTCGTCCGGTTGAAAATTTCGTCCATAGATCATAAGAGTGTATAGAAACACTGGACAAATCGATATTCGTCCTACATTTAATTTAGTCCAAAAGCTCCTTGGACGAAAAAGACGAAATTAAATTCCAGACGAATGTTTCTGCTTATACAGTAGATGCTGGCATACCGGTTTTTGCCTAGGTACGCGTCTATAGTTTTGAAATGGACTGTAGATGCCTGTACTCACATGCTACTCCCAGTTTATCATGCACTTACTTTGGTCAACCAAGAGGACATACGCTTCCAGGGAGCTTATGAAGTTATGTGCTCTTGCTACTACCAAGAGTATATCTGTATAATCATACCCCCCCCCCCCCCCCCAAGAGTGTGCAACTCCTGATTCACTGGCTGATACCCTTGCTATGGCCCGGGGTACGCCGACGGCAAAAACTCGCATCACGTGGTGTAGTATCGCAGTGCCAGTTGTACGTTTCCACCCCGTTTTAGCGAGCAGCGGAGTAATAAAAAATGTATGAAAATCCGTATGTCGTATGCGCCGGGGAGCGAAGGCAACTTTCATACGTTGAGTCCTCCGAGGGATTTTTGATTGAATTTTTTTTTCCATTTTCCAGATTTATCCATGGCAATGTTCCAAGACACGCGAAACACAAGGTGCACACACCATACACCACGTGCAAAATAAAATGGAAACGCGGTTTTTTTCTTGGTGCATGCGGTGGGTGCAATTCCTACGTTATTTTCATACGTATTTCCGTAGATCGAAACCTCCCTAATATCGATGATGAGCCAGCAAATTTTTGCGGCAAAATATCAGAGGTTCACTGGCAAAATCGGGCTTTGCCTAATCATGGCAGCAAGAGTCCATAGAGTCCATGTTTATGCACTCTTGATGACAGATACAATGTATTCAAATTGCGCGCACACAATTCTTCGTTTGTGCGTAGTACGAAACGTACCTGAGACACGTGATGTGGGAGTTTTCGCCGTCGGAGACCCCATATGCAGAGTTGCACACTCTAAGTCTCTTGGTGGGGGGGGGTTATAATGATTATGTATACTCTTTCTACTACCAAGAGTACTAGTAAACAAGAGTGTGCAACTGTCATCTCTTCTGCACAATCTGCAGATACCCCTGCCCACGGCAGAAATTATTCTGGACGTCACCTTTTCAGAAAACGCGCGCATTTTGCCGCGGAGCAGTGTCAGAGCACGTACTTGGCGCCGACCTTGTAATCTAAAGCCCGGCCAAGTCCACGAGGCAAAACTTAAAGACTCGCAGCGAATGCTTCGTAGAAAAGATTACGTCGACAAAAAAGTTCCCATCCGCGAGTTGCACACTCTTGTTTATCTACTCTTGCTACTACACATGAAGAAAATGTTTGAAAGCAGGCTGAGTAGCGGTATAGTAAATTTCAGTCACACCACGACTCCACAATACGCTCTCGGCCAACTCATTCACTTATACCGAAAGCGTATCTCGCTCATCGTCATCACCACCATTTCATAGCAAGGACAATTCTGTTGAGATACTGTAAAATATGATTGTTATTTTCGGTGTAACTTTAATTTCGGTTTAGAAACCAGGCTGCAGGGCACCTAAATTAAAAGTACGCCTAACTAAAAGCACAAGACTATGTACTGTATGTGATGGGAAAGCTAGCCCCTACATTGCACCCGAACCCTGTCAGTTCCCTGGCACCGAAATTTTAATACCGATACACCTAAAATCACATGGTTTACAGTACTAACATTGTATTGATATTGCAGACCCTCCAGACAGATGTTTGGCTCCAACCATGTACCAGGGAGTCGTAAAACTTAACGATATTTCACGACCCCTGGCTCCCACCTATCCACATGGAAGATAGCTGGAAAAAAAATTCAAAAAAATCTTAGGAAATGCAGACTGGGAATGAGCTCGGACATGGGATGGCGATCTTCCGCGAGTTCAGCTCAAGTGCAAGTGTGATTTTTTCCAACTGATGAATGTCACAAGAAACCATGTCAGCACGTTTCCCTGTCCCCAGGGAAAATTGCGGAAAAAAATCGCAAAAAAATGCGGCATAATATGGCATAATTTGCAGTAAATATGCGGTAAATATGCGGTGAATATTATTGATATCATCTCGCGGCGGCAAGTCTGCAGTTGATATGAGGCAATTTTCAGTGAGTATGTAGTGAAATCAATCAGTTACAAAAGGGAATTTTCTAGAACCGCCCCAACCGGTTTTCGACCGGTTGAAATTGTTGGCGACCGGTTGAAAAGTTACAAATCAGTTCCAACCGCCCGTACTTTTCTGTGGGTGAATGGAGCTGTGAATGGTCAAACGCGTCAAATTGCTGTCAAGTGCCATATTTGGGTTGTATTTTAAAAAAATTTCCGGGGGTGACCCCCGGACCCCCCGACTCTTAATTGGACCGTAACCGGTTGGAAATTCGTCCTAGAATATACCCTGGAACTTACAAGTCTCTGGTGTAAGCGCTCGTCATATTTGAGTACAAAGCCGCCACCGGATGAGACGTTGCTGACCGAACAGTGCACTGTGTGTACGTGTAGTGCAACAGAAAAGTTCAAAAAACGCGGTCTTATAAAAAATCGCAAAAAACGCGGCCGCGGAATCGCAATTTCCCCCGGGGACAGGTTTCCATACACAGGACATCCCAAAAGCCAGCAAAATACGTAGTTTCACGTGCCAGGTGTGAACTCAGCTTTACAGTAGTCGTGGATCCTAGGGGTAAGCCTGGGGTGTTCTTATTTTTCAGCAATACGGCTGCGTTTAATATACATGTATAGGGGCCGTCCGTAAATATCCTGTCCCCCGTGAATTCCGCGGCAGAATATCAGAAATTCCGTGCAGAATTCTGCAAATCCTTCTATATTCTGCGAGGAAAAAGAGCGTAAAAACAGATCAAATTTCCGCAACCCCACCGAAGTTTGTTATCCCTATATATTCTAAACCAAAATTATGCGTACTCCTGGTAAAAAAATTGAACGCTCCAAAATATGCTGCAAGTTCTTTTTGAAAGTCACAAGCACATTGTAGTGTGTTATTGGCTTGGCTGTGAACATACATCGAAAGTCTCCAGAAAAAGCAGTTTTCTCTCTTTTCTGCAATATTCCGCGGGATTTTCTGAATTCTACGGACACTACTAGATTCTGTGGAAATTCTGCAATCCGCGGAATTCACGGGGGACAGAATATCGAACTTTTTTCACCAAACGAATTACATAACGAAACTATTTCATTTTGTGAAGAAAGTTCGATATTTATGGACGACCCCTTATTATAGTTATAGGATGTTCTTACTCTACTGTATGTGAATGGTATTTTGTGAGTTCACATTGCAGTTTGGCGTCGCATCGCCAAAAAAATGCTTCTGCGAATCCTATATAATTATGAGAGTGTACATTGTACGAGCTGTAGCTAGAAACCCCCAGTATAAACTCCCCAAATCCGGACGTCCCTAATCCAGGCACTTTTCTGACCCATCTACTATCTAGAGTCACAAAATAAACATTAATTTTCACGAAAAGGCCCCCAAAACTATTGACTGGCGTAAAATTTAATAGTGTTTAGGGACCATCGCAAAAGTTCGCAGAAGCCCCCGAAACGAAGACCGTGAGTTTCGGGCCTGACCCCCCTCAAACGAAACGACAGTCACAATATGGGCTTCATTTTTTCACTTGGATGCTCACACATAATAAGTATTATCAAGAGTACATAACCTTTTTTATGTACTCTTGGTATTATAATACTACACAAGCATTGTTGTATCAGTGTGTAACAATGTACAGCACTTTATAAATGCAACGATGATATCACCTTGCAGTGGGTGATCTAAGAACGAGAACAGCTAGAGCTATGCAGTTGTATCCTTTGAGCATTACAATGAACGTTGATTGGTGTATATTGCTTTCACATTCCCCATACGCGTCCTGACAAGCGATCTACGCCGGCTGTGATGGCATGCTAATCCTACAGCTCCTATAATTATGTCGTCAATACTTTTTTGAATTGAAGCCCGGTTTGCGATTTTCGCACCGACTCCCTCCCCCCCAAACGTATGCTCTTCGTTTCAGGGGCTTCTGCGAACTTTTGCGATGGTCCCTTACATGCATTCAGTCATAGAACTGAGACAATTTCATTGAAGTGGAGGAAGTGTGTGTTCGACTCTACACATTCAACGAGGGTGATGGATGTGTGCATAAAGCGTGATCAGGTGAGCCACATTCCAGGGGTTCAAAACACACAAGAAAGGGCATGCATACTCAACAAGAACTGTTCCACAGCATGTCCAACAAACAGAGCAACTGCAAATACATGGTTTTGTAGCTCAAATACTGGCAGACACGAATAAATAATGATCACAATTGTATCTACTGCTCGTCCTCTTCATTCTCTTCCTCCTCGTTGTTGATCTGGAAGTAGCGGAGTTCATACGACGTATTACCGTTGGCAACAACGCGTAGCCAGTCGCGTAGGTTGTTCTTCTTCAGGAACTTTTTGGTAAGGTACTTCAGATACCTGATCAAGATACAAAGCAGACAAGAAAACAATGCGGCAATACTTTGAACAGACATTCTCCAAGAATGTTTCCCCGGTTAGTACTTGTATAGTGCATGGAACGGAAATTCTGCAAAAGGACTCAACCAACAGTCATAGGAAAAAAATGTGTGTGTGTGTGTGTGTGTGTGTGTGTGTGTGTGCACCAGTACACCTACATCAGGGTGCCACTGCCATCTACTATCCTAGCTCATATAAAACACACCCTGCCTAATCAAGATTGCACACACACACACAGAACTCGCCAGGCACGAGCCACCACACAAACCTGAATACAAATACATGTACTGTATTACAACTTTCAATACCATGTCTGAAACAAATTTACAGTATAAAAAATGAGCGCTGAGTCTTGATTCAAGGCTGCGTCAAACAAAACAAAAAACACAGCTCAGCGCCGTATGCACAGCTTGGTTCACACATCACCAGTATACACCGGGCTGGAGCCCGGACGGATTAAAGGCAGCACGCCCACACATCACCAGTATACACCGGGGCTGGAGCCCGGACGGATTAACGGCAGCACGCCCACACACCCAGCCTGGCATACTGCATATCCGGTACGCCTACACGGCGAACGCAGACCGTATGGTGGCCAACTAGGCAGGCCTAACTCCAATTGCTACTGTGGACCACCGGCGTACACGACTAACATTTCACTGCTATCATACGGGATGTACGCGGGTGGGGCCAGTGTTGAGACTAACTTGAACATTGCTCGACTCCCAACCAAAATCTCCCGCACAATTGCAGTAAACAGTTTTACTGGTTTGCACTGGATCTCACCGGGACACGCCATAATAAGGTGCAGCCCTAGAGAATACTGGTGCATGTGAACCATGCCTTACTGTCAAAACTAAACTATCGCACTCACGCATGCCTACCTCTTGGAGAAGGGAACGTCTGCGACCACGTGAATTCTCTCTTTCTCCCTCGTGATAGAGACAGCATTGCCAAGATTTCCGATCTTGCCTTGAACCTTGATGCGCTCATGCAGGAATTGCTCCTAAGGGGAAATGGAGGAGTTAATGTTAGGGAAGATAACCCTAACACTTTAGGGAAGGTGACCCTAAGCTCCTTTTACTAGGGAACTAGCCCTAGAACAATTATAAGTGAAAAGGGGCAGAGGAACATCAGCGCAATTCACTCCAAAATCCAAATATCGGCACAGAAATCATCGAACTACCACGACCCACTTACAAATGCTGAAGCGTCGAGGATACCATCCTCTACTGGGTTAGTGCAATCTAGCACAATCCTGCTCTGTACCTTCCTTTGAGATTTGCGCTAAACGAAACATTTCACACAACACATCACAATTGTTTACTGGTCAGTATCTCCCATGATATGAGTACCTTCGGAGGGCTAGTTACTCGGACTTACTGCGGCAGGCATCTTGTTTCTCTACAGTGACGACCTACAAGTAAGCTACAAAAGTCTGGCCTCGGACAGAATGATTTCGACCAAACAACAAACTGCAATCGGATCAACTACAACAGAATCATTTTTATTTCGGGCAGCATATTCTAGCAATAGCATGGCGACTTTGCTAACTAATTTTTTTTTTTATGTTGTTACTTTTTTCCCCGCAAAATCGTGGCCATGGCGCCAGAAATCATTCATTATTATTATTATTTTTTAATCACAAACTGTTACCGTGGTTACTGACCAAGCATGATGAAAGGCTGCAGCAAAGATCCAGTCTACGAGTACAGACTGACTTGGGATATAATTGGGAAAGAAAGACTTTCCTGCCATGTAATGGAGTTTACGTCGATTACGGAGCACAAAACGTTTACCATGCGTTTTTGTTTCGCTCTGTAAAGAGCACTTAGGGTTCCCTGTAACAAGACGGCAACGTCTGTACTGTAGGGCCTTCCCTATCAAAATAATAAATTCTACTACTACTACTACCATGCCATGGTTTACGTGCAGCAGACTATGAGTCAAATCTGCCTGGCTTGATTAGGTCATGAAAAATAATTATAATTGTTTATCGTCGACGCGTCAGGTTTTCCCCCGAGAAATTTTATTTTATTTTTTATTTTGCATGTATGGCTGTATGGTCACGTCATCAAGTGTTCGCAACCGTTAACCCCTAGTCTAGACATGCCTTTTTCTTCACTTTTCTTTTGAAGCCATTTTGTGCAGCATGAGATAAATCCATGTGATGCAGGTGAATCGCCAGCCTCGAATAACATCTTGCAAGATAATTTTGAGGATACGAATATGGAAAAGTGAAACAACCAACGAAGGACAACAAAGAAAATCAGGCATCTGATAATCAGTCTCTTTCACTTTTCAAGCCCATAGCACCTACATTGTACATGTAATCTGCGGACTTCGCCTTCCAAGATCCACACTGATTTGAGGCCCTATACTAGATCGCAGAACATTTACCGGAACTAAAAAAATAAAATAATTTGGGCCGGAGGTCTAAAATTCGGGGCGGGCCCTGACGAAACAAACAACCCATGTTTTTTTGTACTTGGCCTTATGTACTACATTTGGCTTGCATTAGCAGCAACACCGAATAAGTCCAGGCAGTATCGCACCTGCATACTTGCAAGTACGGGTATGCATTTACGAAGTGCATGCCACAAGTGTTCACCAGTCTGCCAGGATTCAATTACACGGTTGCAAGTGTACCTGGCTACATCACTGTTGTCTTAAAAGTTATGCAATGACTGTGTTGATCGCCACTAACAACCATGTCACTTATCCGGCGGCTAAAGCGACAAACTTTCGCGGCGCGCAAATTTAGCGTTTTCATAAATTGAGCTGGTTCACGATGAGAAACTTTTGCGATTCTATCTCCTCAGCCGGATCTTGTACTGTCTGCAATCAATGTACAGAGAGGTTTGCGGCGATTTATATTCGCGAATATGTGATGGTCGCGAAAATAGCGAAATTTAATCTCTAGCGAAAGTTTCTCACTTTACAGTATCTGGCTCCCTACAACCCCATTCCCTATAGGCCCTGCAGGCTGTGATACAGGTGCATGGGTCGGTGAAGAGCGCAATGCGGTGCGGGTTAGGTGGCCCAGTGAAGCTCCTGAGTTTTACATCCAGCCAAACAAAAAGTAACTAACTTTTCTAACTTTGGAGTTTTCCACATCCGTAGGAACGACACGATCTTTATTAATAAACACAGGATAAAAGCAGGATACTAGCAAGAGATTTTATCTACTCTTGATACTACTATACATGTACATGTAGATGCAGTACACGCAGTACACGCAGCAGCCGTATGCACTCATCCCTGTGCAACAATCTACACTTTAGGACAGGATTGCAGGTGTTCCTGATTTTTTGACAATGATCCGAACAGCAATACATACTTCGAAGTGCCTAATTTGAATTGGATAACATTCGCAAACTAAAAGGACTGTCTCCAGGCCAGCTGGTTTAGACTACCATGTCCAGACTTCATAAAAAATGATTTGTAGTAGCTGACCTTGAAATATACACTGTATGTGAATAGTTGACGAGATGATCAAGGGCACAGTGGGTAAAAATAGCCATATAGGATAATATAACAAAATATACCAGATTCTTGTAGCATGCAAAGAAATTTCCAATTGCACATAGATATTGCTGAAGAATAGCACATTTTAGGAATGAAAACAAATAGTTTCCAGCAGGAGGAAAACCCCAGAAGTATCGTGCAAACATGACGGCACTACCACACTTGCTTCTTTTGCAATTTCCCCGGCGCAGTTCTTTTGCGTCCCTTGCTGACTGTCACAGTGGCAAAGCCATGCTGTCCGTGCGCCAACTGCTTATCCAGTTGGTCCCTATTCCCACTCCTGGCAGCACTATCAGCAGTGGGAGCTGGTCTACTGCCTGCGGCACCAGCCGGATCTTCCTGTGGGGCAGCTGTAGCCGTGGAAGCAGTTGGACGGAATGGAGTCTTCGCTTTGGATTCTGGCTCGGCCCAGCGTCGAGCAGTACCGCCATAGTTCTCAATGGTGTTCATCTTCCGCAAGAGAGACCTGAACAGAAAGGAAAACACTGCTGGTTAGCCGTGTTTCTTGTGACAAAGAAATACAACGGAGAAAAGGTACACCAAACTCCACAGGCCTAATCAACTACTTCGGAGTACATTCAGGATGAGTGGAAGATTAATCCAACTCCACAACAGTGTGTTTACCGCCATATTGCCAGGTGTGTCTTTACCACCATATTTATCAACCACAACAGTACATGCTGAAAATACAAGTACAGCAAGGCCCAACCAGTGTAGTCTCATTGCGCTACTTACGTAATCTTGGTCTTGGTATCTTTCAAGTCGCCATGCACACCCATACCCGGGGATTCCTTGCCAGTGCCCTGCTGCTGTAGCAATAACATTGTGTTGTGACAGAAAACATGCAGTGTCAGACATACGAATCAAAGCAGTATACGCGAGTAGGAAGACAATGGCGACATTGAGGCTGCAGCTTTCGCCAAAAACAGCTTCAACAACAATGTTATCAACAGAGCGTTCACAAGATAACTGCATAGCGAGTAAGGGTACGTTGGTCAATCCAGATTTCAGATTCACTGGAGCAGTTGAAACAGCTGACTCAGACAGGCATAACACATTAAAAAACCCGTTCACTCAACACCCGCTTAAAAGTATCTAAGTGGCAGGAGAAATTCTCAGCTGTTGGCTCTGATGAGGCCCGACTAACTGTTATGTGGAGAATGCTCAAACTCTATTTTTTCATTCGACAGCGTGTGCTGATAGCTATGTGAGTGTGGAGACATGCTTGCCTGTTTCAAACCCATGCAGCATGACCATGTCTGGCAGTGTTGAGCACTCTTCACTGGAGTAGTAATCTGTGTGCGTGCTTCGAATGATGTAAGAGCACGAAAACTATGTTTCGTTCGTTTTGCACACTGTTCGCTCCAGCCCTGGAAACAAACAAATACTGCAATTGAATTCACCGTGGCCCTAGTCCTTACTGGTATGTCAAAGGTAATCGGAAAGCGCATGGAGAATGCACCATGTGAGAAGATGATAACAATGTTGTTCTGCAAGCACACACAAATGTATCCACAAACACAAACACACAAGCACATAAGCCAGAGTGTGCTATGCCGTAGCTGGTCTGGTCCACGGCTGACATTTTTGTGTCGAGGTAAACTTTTTTTCAGAACGCATGACGCATGTCATACAAAGCACATGCAAAGTGCCGACCTTAATCGCGAGTTCGTGTTCGGCTGTTGGAATTTTTTAAAACTTTTTCTCCCCCTGCTGTAGCTTTTTATTGTAGCAAAAGTTTAGCAGGTGTGAAACCTGACCATGAAAAAAAGCTAACGCGACCATGGACTTGTACTGCACGCCACCTCGTACGGACGGTATGAATCACGATGTCCGAAAAATCGACATGAATTTTAATAAAATAGAAAGGTGAAGAAAGGAAAAGGACAAAATGTTACGAGTTATGACAAACTGTCCACCAACGTAACCAGATCTTATACAGTCAGCGAGTGCGACAAAATGGCACAAAACTGACAAGGAGTACTGAGACGTTCCGAGTTCAAATAGAAAGGTGTTAGAAATACCATCAAGATACAAGTGCACTAAAACCACTAGCGGAAACGCAAAAAGGTAACAAGATTACGTAACCAAAGGTGAGAAGGCACTGAACGAAGTGTCAACCTACGAATACAACTTCAGTGCAACAACGTGCTCTTTCTGCTTACAAGCTTAAAAAAAGTTGTAAGCAGAAAGAGCACGTTGTTGCACTGAAGTTGTATTCGTAGGTTGACACTTCGTTCAGTGCCTTCTCACCTTTGGTTACGTAATCTTGTTACCTTTTCGCGTTTCCTCTAGTGGTTTTAGTGCACTTGTATCTTGATCAATTTTTTTTAAATCTTGAAGGACGCTTCACGCAGCTTCATTATACTTGAATCGTTTGCAGGCAACCTGCATCTTGATGTTATTTCTAACGCCTTTCTATTTACAGTACTTAACTTCAGTTTCTTTGGTTGTATCCTTTAATTTTAATAACAAAAACAATACTGCTATGGGCCAAACAAGCTGAGTTGCATACCGTGTTATCTCTAATATAAGCACGGTCCTTTAATTTTTTCAATGTACCTCCGCCCCGTGCTATTAATGGAGACGTTCCTTTATTGGAGACTGTTCCATTATTATTTCAACCTCATTTCAGAGGCATGTTGCCATGCCAAATTCATGTCAGACACACACATTTCAGGGTTTTTTTTCCGCCGGTACTGCATTTTAGAGATAATACGGTACGTGCATTTTTACCAGGTACCGATAGACAGTGTGCTTATAATGGAGACTGACCACTTTATTTTTTGAATGCCGACCCAAGGTGTTCTAATATTGGAGACGTGCTATTATTGGAGACTGTGCTTATATTAGAGATAATACGGTATTCTGTTTGTGAACTCTTGCATGCACGCATAGATACTTAAAGTAGTGATAGAGAAGGTGCTAAACGGTTAGACAATATTGTATGTTCCACAGTCCTGCGCTCCAAGGATCATGATCATATACAGCAGCACCATATCAAGCGTAACCATGGTTGTTGCCATGGCAACAAGAGCCAGAATCGCTCTGTCCAGAACCATTTTCATGAGAATGATGCCGATCACGACACTAATTTACAGTACAGCTGAAGTACTCCCATTCAAACTGAAACACTCCAGACATACCAAAATACGAAAGGAATTCCAATACAGCGATGACTGGGTACGAGGTCAACGGCGCAGATACACCGAAAAGCAACTAGGCTAGCCAGTACATCGGGAAACGGCCCGATTAGCATAGAGTTGCATCTCTGAGAATCACAGTTGTTTTTGAGTAAGTGTGCAATTTACGAAATCAATGGCACTGAACATAGATTTCCTGTATTAGACATGGCCAGCCAGTTATGGAGGCAGCGTCCTTATCGAGGTTGAGTATATTGTCCAAGGAACGAAAAGTGAGGGCAATGTGCTAACACCCTGATTACAACTATTCGAGTCGCTTGTCAACACAAGCGGGTCAATTTTTGGAAACCCCTTATCAAAGTTGAAATGAAAAGGAAGATGATGTGAGCCGCAATCAGCGAAAACGACCCTTAGAGGTTTCGTAATTTTTTCAAGAAAAATGTCGATTTGTGACGTTCAACGATTTTTTGATCGCGCTGTTTACGAGTTCTTCTTGATCTCCTTGCTTGGATTTATTTGAAGTTAGTTGAAGTGGTGTCGAGTGGCGACTCGAGTGTTCCTTGATCTTGTTGCGATGGCTGCGGACGCCAGAGCTGTTTGCAGAGCACACGCGGCAGTCATTGTGTACAGCTAGCTCCAGCCTGGTGGGGAGTGGATGCTGAAGTAGCCGCTGAAGTTCAGAGTGAGGATGAGACGTTCTTTGGTTCCGACATCGATGTCGACAGCGAGGCGGAATCGCAGCCGTCATCTCCTGCTGCGTTGCGGCTCAAGGTGGTCGATGACTCGTCAGAGTCGGAAGATGAGGAGTCATCACCTGAGATAAATCTGAGTCTGGGGCTAGTGACGGCAGCGACGTCGTGTCGTCACCTGCGCAGGAAGAAATGGAAGACATTGCGGAACGACTCCACGCAGGATGCAGCTGCAAATAAGTCGATCATGTCTCCGCACTCTTCCGCTATTCTTTGTCATTCTAGCTGCTTACTGGCAATACTGCGCTATTTCAAAGGTATTCAAGCTGCCTACCCACCTAAAAATGCTGAATATTTATTGTACACATACATCGTATACATACATTGCACCAATTTGGAGTACATCTTGTATATTGGTGTATACACCCGTTTTGAATCGGAATATTGAACTTTTTCTTGGCTGAGGTCCTTCAGTAGATAGATGTGTTTCAACAAATTTCTAACCAAAAAGGAATTTTGAAAAATTTGACCCTAAGGGCTGTTTTCGCTGGTTGAGGCCCATGTTGCTTTTTCTTGAAATCTTTTCCAACTTGCTAGCATACATTGCAGCTTGCATATAACAAAGTAGCTACGGAGCATCTAAACATTGTAATAATTATTAGAACGTAGCAGAAGTGTATACTGATTCCTGTACGTTGCAATGCCTGTATGGAGGTTATGCGAATGACTTCATGTGTGGATTTTCTAATGGGCACCATGTATGCAGCGTGAGTTGCTAAGGCAAATACTTAGGTGTTGTCCGGTAGTTTTCGTATCAGTCTGGGTCGGTAATGCCATTACCGGTATGTTTCCCGCGACCACCAACGGGAGGAGATTGCTTGTAATGGCAAGGGTGTATCACTGCTAGTCGGCTGCTTCTGCTAAGCTGCAGCCTAGAGTAGTAACGGAGGTGGATGGTAGCATTGTTGGCACACATACTCATACTTACATGTCGGACACAGCGCAGTGACACGTGATTGCTCAATGCCAGGCAGATGGGCTGGAAGGCTGGAGCATGGCTCATTGGTGATACATGCCGGGGCAGGAGCCACGACCTGAATGCAAGAGAGACAGGTCACAGAACTCGTGAGAATACAGCAAGCTAAGTATCATGCTTGCACATGTACATTGCACATGGGCGCAAGGGTGCGTGCAATCATGCCAATTGCAAGTGCTACACCAGATTCGATTTCATCTAAAACCGGTTCCTTCAACAGTCCACAGCATAGCCCCCCAACCAATGCCGACTCACCACCGCCTCTGCCTTCCTTGATTGGCTTGATCAAAGACAACGCCTCCCGTGCGATCGAGCAAGACGCGGATACTCCCACTCGGGGTGTAGCAACACCCGTGAAAGATGGAGGGGCAAAACATAGCCAACATGGTCGGATCATCACATTGACCGCTCAAACAGGGCTACATTGAAAACAAGGCACAAAGAAAATAGCAGGTACAGGTTAACAGCAAGGAACAAGTACATGAATTGCTAGTCGTACAAGAGAAGAACTAATACTTGATGTACTCAGTAACTTTACGAGTCAGTAATGATGCACTCGTGCGCGAAAAAAATATCAATGGGCCTAGGCTAAAAGGGCATTGGATTGAAGATTAAGTTAATTAACAGAAGGTCAGTTCTGCTATCTTTCGGCAAGAAAAGGAACACATTCACACGAGCTTCACCCATCCACGCACTGACCCGCCCAGTCACCCATTCACCCAGGCAAGCACACTTATGTGCAGTGCCCCCCCCCCCCCCACACACACACAAGGAAGGCATCACAGGGTGGGTACTGGCCTCGTAGGCATATGTGCTCATACCACCATCTTTAGAGAAAGACGTGTACACAGCTATACTGCCATTCGGATAGCTGATATGTAGAAGCTAAGGAAGTACTGTATTCAACTCCGTATACAACATCCCACTCAGTAATACCAATTCCCATTGAATCTGGTCGAAGAGAAGGAAGAAGAAAACAAGCTGACCACTCGACATACCGCCACGTACCAAGCACTTTTAAAAAAGGAGCACTTCTACACACAACTGTCTCAGACGGAAGAGAACAAAGTAGGAGAGAGAGAGAGAGAGAGAGAGGCAGAGGGAGAAGGAGAGAGAGAGAGAGGCAGAGGGAGAAGGAGAGAGAGAGAGAGGCAGAGGGAGAAGGAGAGAGAGAGAGAGAGAGAGAGGGGGGGGGGGCAAGATGACATGGCAATCGGCATCTAGTGGAAGGATACAAGCAGCAGCTAGTTCCATCAGAGAACCGCGCAGCGAATAACTCTCCCGAGTTGTAGTGACGGATGAATGGCTTAGGATAGTCACGTGACAGCTGAATGGCAGTACAGGAAAGGAGAAGTAGAGATGAGTGACTGCAAGGACAAGTGGCATGTGCTATGAATACAAATGCCTAATACTGGTGGCTGGACTAACACGAATCAAGCAGAAGCTGGTGTGCTGGTATAAGAGCTTGCAGGATTTCGAGTGTAGGGTGTGATGCAGACAGGTTATGTAATGCTTGTTCACACTTGCACACTCTTGGTTATGGACTCTAGCTGATATACATTCTAAAGTACAAATACACAGCAGCAGCAGCAGCAGCAACAGTGCAAACCGAGTAATTATGTCATTGTAGTACCTTGCCGTGTAGCATGTCCGTGAGAAGAGATAACGGTGCAACTGCACCACTAGCGGCAGCTACTAGGCGATTCTTCGGTAACCGTGGCAATGCAATGGGTTCACTGGGTGGCAGGGCAAGGCTCAGGTGACGCGAATGCTCAAGGCCAAGCACATTCTGACTAGGGATCGCAGAGGTAGTGTTGCGTCGCATTCGTTCGCTTTGCGTGCTGACCAGGGATAGCATGGACGGTGTAGCCTCGGTACTGGTGTCCACTTGACACAGGGGATTAGTCCGCCGCTCGCTTTCTCTCGAGTCCACACTCGGATCAACTGAAGCGACGGACACAGGAGAGGTTCGGACCTGGCCATCACGTTCAATCGTTGGTAGCTTCGCCATAGCCCGTGCTCCCAGGTCATGTGGCTGATCAACGCCAGTCGCGACTCCCAGCTTGCGCTTGACAGCAGACTTCTGTCGCGCTGACGCCGTCGGCACCATGCCTTGTGCCACACTGGTGAGAGTAGGGGCGTGAATTGATGGCAAGACCTACAAAAGAGGTGCACACACACGACACACACAACACACACACACACACACACGCATGCGCGCGCGCACACACACACACACACACACACACACACACACACACACACACGCACACACAGCCGTGCAATACAACTCAGCACACTAAGGTCACATGCACAACAACAGTATTGTGCGAACTGAACACTCTTTGCAGGCCTCCGAGCGCCAATGCCCTTTTTGCTGCATTACAGCCTGTACGGTTCCTGTCCATATGCACTGTCATACTGTTTTCTACGAGCACAAATGTCAGCAGCAAGTACATGTAATATTTAGGCCTCAGAGGCTCAGGTTATTGATATACAGTACACAAACACCAAAAAGTAAAAAACTGAGATCTAAAAAAGAGAAAAAAGAAAGAAAAAGGAAGATACTAAGAATGCCACATACTGGTAATTCGCTTGCAGTCTCCGGTGCGGGCTGAGCGCTTGCTTTTCGCCGTGGATTCTCCTGCTGATCCTGATCTTCATGCTTCAAGCTTGGCAAGATCAGAAGTGACCCACCCAGAGTATCGGAATACGACCTTCTGCGGTCAGACCTGGCTGCTTCTGTATACACACAGCGCGCGGCGCACACATACACAGACACACACACCTTAGTCGGACCTTCTAAACATCTAGAAAGCGAAAACACGGAACCACAAAGGTGCTGCACTGTACATGTATACTTCATCGGCCAAGGTGGGAACGTACATGTTTCACAGCTCTCACAATGCAAAAGAAATGTCTGCCTGATTGTATTCCGCAGCTGGACCAGATACCTAAATGCACCGGTACCCGTTGCTATACACAACTCCATTTGTAGAGGGCAACGATCAACAGTCAGCAATGTAAGAAACAGATCAAACTGCGAAATGTGAAAGTTCAAGCAGCGACATTGCGGACCAATGAACGGAGGACTAGCGGGACGTACTCTTCTCAGGGTCCGCGTCAGCCATAACCCAGCCTTTCGGCGAGCGTGCTTGACCGGCCAGGGAGAATGACACAGTCTTCCCTTTCTTCACTGCAACAGCAAAGGCAAGAACAAACAGATACGCAACATGGCAAGGAACTGCTCAGACATGCTACAGACATGCTACAGAACAATAACAGTTGCAATGGCGGACTACTTGCTCAACTTGCATCCACTGGCAATGGCCATAAGCAAAGAGAACAAAACTGTGATAGCTGCTGGCCCAAAAACCAATACTATGGTGACCACGAACAATGCAGATCAAAGATTTGCAACTCACATATATCATTCAAGTGCAACAGTCAATCGCAGCAGTACATACTGTAGGACCACAGTTTGCGTCACAATGTGCGTACGCCTAGAAGCTGCAAGGCACTGCGAGTACGTAAAGCACGCAGGCTCGGTTCGGAAATAGTCCGAAAAGTCATTCACATACAAACAAATGCAGCACAATGGGAACACAGTGCTACTGCTCCCCACTGCCTAAAGCTACGAGATTCCCAGAGATAGGATTGCATCATTTCACTCTCTTTCTGTCATGACAATAGAAACAGGGCTAACTCACAAGCATAAAAGCTAACTGGTCCAGTTTTCCCCTTTCGCATGTGTTCGCGCATGATGAGCCTAAAATAAAACACCACAAACACCACAAGAAGAATGTGCATATCGGTACATGTCCACCAAAATCTGAAGTCCGAATACGTTAGCAGGAACACCACCATCATTGCTGCTGCTGTTGCTGCTGCTGTTGCTGCTGCTGTTGTTGTGGTTGTTGTTGTTGTTGTTGTTGTTGTTGTTGTTGTTGCTGTCTTCATCTTCGCCTTCATCGCTATCATTATCAAAAAGCCTCTTTTACGGGCAATCATACTAATCATCATCCTCACCATCATTGTAACAAATGTAATACTCGCGATGTGTTTGGTGGTCGATATGAATCTGTTGTCAACCGATAAAAAAGGTCAATAATGAAAAATATAGGAGAAAAAGACATGGACGCGAAATGTGTTTCGAAAGAAATCGGGCGTCACCACCGGGCGGACATTTTGAAGTAGTCTGGCACCCAGACGAGGAAAAAACTGGCCCTTGTGAAGAAGAACAGATCAGCCACCCATTAGTGATGGAGGTTTGAGCTTTCATAAAAAAAGATCCATAAAAGAAGAAGGATTTTTTTCTTTACACTATTTCTTCCTATTTTCATCATTTTATTGCACATTGTCTCCACCGTTTTACATTGCATGAATAAAGTATACACAAATTAATGTGGATTCTGCTTGTCTTATTGATTGCGGTTATCATAAAATAAGAGTGCAAAAAACTCGCTCAATTTGAACTTGAAATGCAAAAGAAGTCCGAAGGTCAAGAAATTTGAGAACGCAACATGTTTTTAGACGTTGTGTGAACACGACCACCACGGTTCTGTGTCGTGCTGTCGCTTGGATGTGGTGTGAGCACGTCTTTAGAGGTCACACGTTTCTGTGGCGTCCAATAGGTTACAAATGCATAATGCATTTCTCCCAGGTCAGGCATGATATTTTTCCAAATAATGTTCTACTTGTGCATTTCATGGGCCACAGCCAGCTAAAACATGTCTTAGAGCGAAATTTTCAAATTTTTATTCCAGAAAATTGTCACTTTGCCTCACCAGCTGCCTCTAAACTACAGTCCATTTCAAAACTATAGACGCGTAGGGTTTTTGAAATATTTCAAATTTGGCTGGAACCTTTTGAGAATAGTTTTCGGAATATTGCTCAGGACCGCTCCACAATTACTCTCATATAGTTTCTAAGCGATTGGATAACAGACGCCCAATTTGGAAAAAATTATGCACGAAGTGATCACAGATTTTATGTGGTATAGATGCTGGCATAACGGTTTTTGCCTAGGTACGCGTCTATAGTTTTGAAATGGACTGTAGACCGTCAAACAAGTCTGACAATGAAGTTTAACAAGACGCTATCTTGCCACTGGTTGATGAGTGAACAACAGGGTGAATGCACTCGAAAGAAACAATTCTTCATTCCGTCATGTCTCAAAATAATTATGAAACCCCAAAGACATGTTGACATGTTTTAGCTGACCGCGGCCCATTTTGGCCTACGTAAGTCAGGAGAAGGATACGCGCTGGAAGTACGAGCAGCGAGTTCGGGGCATCGAACATGCCTCATTTGTGCCGGAAGTTTTTTTTACTACTGGAGGCATGGGTCAGTATGACGTAATTTTATGTAAACCAAAACTTTGCCTGCACACCCTCTTCATACCGTATGAGTCATATTTTCCTCTGTGCCTTTGGCCCAGTAATATTATTACTCAGTATTTACCGATGGGGTGATCTACTGTATAGCAGGAAATTTTCGGAAGGTATTTATTATCGTACGATTTCGTACACAGCCTCTTTTGTACTAAAATTAATTCCGTTCTAAAATTTGTCCCTGTGAAGTTATGTACACTATACATGCGAACACGTGCATTTGCATTCAGCACTGTACGAAAATAAAATCCGTACGAAAGGTCGAAAATCGGCTTTGTCCGAAAATATTTCCGTCCGAAAATTTCCTGCTATTATATCTTATCCCGCTAAAAAAATGAATGGCGGGAAAATGATGCAAACATCCCAATGTGTGAAGTCATGATGTGAGAGCCAAAGTAAAAAGACAACCCAAATTAGGCAATGAATAACTACTGCGCCGCTGCACTGCTGCATGCAGCGAGAACAGCTGCACTGCTGCATGCTGCACTACTGCACTGCTGTACTAGTACTACTGCACTGCTGCACCATACTACTCCACTGCTGTTTTGCACTATTGTAACGTTGCACTGCTGCACTGAACTGCTGTACTGCACTGCTGCACCCGGGGTACCCATATTGGCCATCCTGGACTGGAGTGCAAGATTACCGTTTTTCAATACTCTCTGGTGTACACAGTTCAGTGTGCTGTGCACAGTTGTATGCGGTTTGGGAGGGTACACAGTTGTATTCATTATTGTAGATCACTGTGGGAGAATAGGGACCTTTCGCATCTGCTGCGAATCAAATGCGAAACGAAAGTTTGATTCGGCTCGTCCTCGTTTCGTTGAAAACAGATTCAGGTTTCGCAAGTCGTCATGGCAACTACGAATACGACCGGTAGCTTGGCGTACGCCTGTTTACACACACGTGCATGGATGATGGAATCAAGGGGAAAAATGTGTACCTAGTACCTGGCGGATTCGGAGCGCGCCACGAATGAAGAGGCTTCCATTCGTGAAAACGAGTTCTCTGCAGGGACTCTGACGAATCCTCAAACCCAGGTGACGAAATCAAAATCAGCATTCGTTTCGTATCCGTATGCGTGGTGCGAAAGGTCCCTAATGTACAAAGGCTGTGTTTTACATGAGACATTTTGAGTTCAGCCCGGGTTGAAAGTCTGTACGATAGACAAAATAGGTGAGCGTTTACATGAAGACAGTTGACCCGGGTCAAATACTGATATGCTGCCAAAAGTCCACTTCTAGAGTCCTGTATGGTCACGTCAAGAGTACATAACCCCCCCAAGAGTGTGCAACTCCCACATACCCTGCTGTCCCGACAGAATTTCAAGTTGACGTCATTATTTATGACGCAATGCTCCTTGCACCAGTGATTTACAACATGTGTACGGGTGTCAACGCATCACACGTTTTTCTTTGCAATAATTTGTACAGGATCGATCGGCTTCGGTCAACCACAGGTTCCGGATTCGTCTGATAATCCGCGTATCCGTGCATTCGTGCATTGCATCATCAAAATGACGTCAACTTGAAATTCTGTCGGGACAGCACCCATAGTGGAGTTGCACACTCTGGGGGGTTATGTACTCTTGGTCACGTGAATACTTTCGCGCAAAATTTGCATGTGCAGTGCTATTCAAACCTGGCGCGAGATACGCACAGAAGTACGTTCGTACGATTTTCTAGCCCCGGGTTGATTTCAACTCTCTCCCCCCCCCCCCCCCCCGGCGAAATTTCAACCCGGGTCAAGCGCAATGCGTCATGTAAACGCGCCATTCGTTTTGTGTACATGGCGGGTTGAAACGCCTCATGTAAACCCAGCCAAAGTTGTATTCTTGGGTCCGCTCCTGCTGCAGCACCTGCTGTTTGGGCTGAGCTAGTGGTTGCGGAAGCTGTGTTCATGTCATGTGCCTGTTGGCAGGTCGTTGCTAGGATTAGACCAATCAGAGAAGCACCGTACCCATTATGAATGACCCTCTAGTACGCACGTACTATGGAGGAGTATGCGCACTACCTGCGGTTTCCTGCTTGCCGCGCAGTATATGAACGTACGGTAAAATCCATAAACTGAATGGCAAGAAGGAAACTACAGGTAGTACGCATGATCCATAACACGCACGCAGAGAAGAGAGACATATTGCAAAAGGAGAAACCTTATGCTAAAGGATATACGCGAGAAAGCCGACACAAAACTTCACTTACACCAACCATTGTCTACGTGCAACTGTTATAACAACTCTTACTCACCAAGGTGTTTTGAATCGCAGCATAATGGCCATCACCGGACATCGGAATGCCCAGAGTTTGACCAGCTATAGCAGGCCATCGTCGAATCAACAAAGAGGAATGGCATCAGTGCTTGACCAGCAGTTAAGCCCCTCGACGATCAGTCAGCCACCTCAGCAAGTTAGTCCAAATGAGGAGCTAATCATTCCTGGTTTGCCGGAATTGTCTTCTGCCGAAGTCGAGGAAGTTTTCGCGTCACTGGATGACGAACTTCTGCCACTGCCAATGAGCACTGCCCAGTCTGCAGATCCTCCCAAGCCGATAATTATCAACATGGCTGGAGCCAACTTGTCCGGTGCCTCTTTCACAATTAATATCACAAAATGACTGTAAGAAGGCGAATAAAGTCTGTGATGCCAAACTTGTTGTCGCTCCTTTTGTGGTGTATTTGAAACTAAAGGATGGTACAGATACCCTTTTTGGGGTGCAGTCTCTACAACTAGGCACGTGGCATGTATAAATAGAATAAACACATCTGTCTTGTGTTTATGGGAATATAAACACTGCTATAAAAACCTCGGCTGCGCCTCGGTTTTTATAGCAGTGTTTATATTCCCATAAACACTATGACATCGGTGTTTATTCTATACATAAACACTACGACATCGGTGTTTATTCTATACTTATCCCATAGTACGGTACAAAATCCCTGTTTCAGCCAATCAGCAGCCTTCCTCAGCGGGGAATATAGCACGATATTCCCCTCCAATATTCCCCGCTGTATAGCACAGTACACACTTCGTACCACCTTTGACCCCAGACGTTCTGGCATAGCGCCCCCCCCCCCCCCCCCCCCCCCGGCATATAGCACGGAAGGAAGAGCGAGATGGACAAGGCAGATCATACTTTCGATTGACAACCAGTTACATACAGAAGAACCATCAGTCTGCCGATGTTGTTTCGGATGGCCGCATCACTGATCTTCATCAAGTCACTGCCGTGAAGATGCTGATATCCAAACTACCACAAAAGTGCAATCGGCTGTTCCAGCAACCGTTCTTGAGATATGATCCCAAAGACCCTGTTTGGTATACGGCCAAACCTATGGGAAGAACCAGCAAGGCGGCATTAAAGGAAAGGACACGGTGTCTGATGGGATGATAGTGTCCGACTGGCAGGCGGAAGCCGTCCTACTCCTCACTTCAAAGTTGTCTGTAAGTCCAAGCGACTCTTTCAGATACCATGTAAACATTACCAGCCAGAGGATTCAGAATGGTACACAGGCCAAGTGTTTGGTAAAAACAAAATCGATGGCATGATGAAGAAGATGAGCGAAACAGCGCGACGAAGCCAGACCTACACCAACCACAGTGTGCACACCACCGCCATTACGACCTTGGCTAAGCAAAATGTGAGTGCCTACCATCATGCGTACTTCCGGCCATCGGAATGCCCAAAGCCTAGACTCGTACTTGCAGCCAAGCGAGCATGACAAGTTGAAAACTGCTCACCTGTTGGACGTAGACGCCATTGATGAAGCACTGCAGTGCGCGACTCCGGAGGAACTGCAGGCCTTGGAAGAGCCTCAGGCACCTCCCCCGTCAGCTTCTGTCACTACCATTTCATCCACGGTGACGTCGGAGAATAGCGCAAAATTCATATTCTCTGGCAACTGTGAACGATGTGAAGGAACTGCGCTGAAGTTGGCTCGTTTCTGCAATGCAGTGTTCCATTTACAATTTACAATACTCCCATTTCAATCAACTCTTCTATTTCCACTCCTCTATACTTTTCCTTCCTACCCTATGCTTTACCTAAGTTCAAACTAAACTCGGTTTATTTTATATTAGACAGTGCGATGTGGGAATGTAGTTGTGTAGAAGTAAGAGCACGAAGTACGGTACACATGGTGTGTAGGGTCATATGTGATAAGTAGAGTATCACCCTCGTAGCTCGGGTGATACCGTACCCTCATATCAATCCCTTCTGCTTCGCAGTCGGGATTGATATTCGCCGGTATCATCCTCGTACTCATGAGATATTCTTTACGTACCCCCCTCGTACTCATGGGATAACGCATACATACACACATGGTACAGATCGGGCATGATGGCTGATTGCATGCCCGCGTGCGTAGCCCTCGGTCGTGCACCGTAGCCCGCGGGCCTGCGGCCCTTGGGCTACGGTGCACGACCTCGGGCTACGTACTAGGGCATGAATCAGCCATCATGCCCTCCATACCATGTGTGATTATATACTTTTTCATTTCACGGAGAACGCGGAGCGCCCGAACGTGCGCCGCATGATTTTTTATATTTTTTTCATTTTTCACTGTCAACTTGTCCAGGGATCATCACAGTTCAATCATAAAAAGATGACACCCTAGCTTTTGGCCATAAATGGGTCAAAATTGGAGGTTTCTGACAATTTTTTAGGGGTGAAAGTTGGCACTGATGTCCCGAGTTCGAGTACTCTGATTTTCTCCGATCGAATATTCGAGTACTCAGATGGTGAGCCAAGGAAAAAATGTGTAACATGGAAATTGTGGGCACAAGTTATGCGATCGAGTCCACCAACTAAACCAGATTCATGCCGTGGAATGTCTCAGTACTCCTTGTCAGTTTTATGCTAGATTGTGCACGTCTGACTATTCAAAATCTGGTTTAGTTGGTGGACTCGATCGCATAACTTGTGCCCACAATTTCCATGTTACAGAATATTCAAGTATGTACCTTTTTGGACCCTTTTTCAAGATTCAAATTTCGCGGCACTGCACCGTGTGAGATAAAATCACGAAAAATCACCAAATACGGGAGCTCGCCATGCCAGATGTAGAGCCAGCGCTCATCTTTTTATGAATGGACTGTAGGCTGTGATCGATTGGTCGAGTCTGGATCCATCAAATTTTGATCTGAGCAGCCCTGCCCCAGATTAGGGTTGGCAGGGTTTTTTTCTCTGCAAACAAGACACTTGAACAGGCATGTGCTTGGCGGGTAACCATCATTGCAGCAGATGATGCGCACTGGATGCAAGAGTTGAGACACCCCCCCCCCCCCCCCCACCACCACTGGGTGACGGATCCTTACTTGTCAATCATGCGGCGTTTGGCTGCCTTGCGGGCTTCCTTCGATCCGTAGTGGCTGGATGGAGCGATGTCGATCAGCACAGGAGCCAGCTTGGAGGCCTTCTCATTCTCATCCATCCATCGCAAAAGCATGACCTTGCACATGTGAAAATACTGCTGGCAACAGTACTCACCCCTCTGTAGAGACGCATAGCACATAGCACACAGCTTGTGATTTACATGTACATTTCTTTAGTCCTGACGATGGTGGTGAAGAGTTTAAAATTTGTATTTTATCTTGCAATAAATAATAGAGGTTGGAGGCGGATAATAATTTCCAAATGAAGGTAAGTATTAGAGAGATTCTGCTACACGGAACTACGTACCAAACTTCGTGTCAACTGCAGTGAAGGTTGACACGGATTTTTCGTACGTAGCGCCGGTTCTGCTGTGCGTAGCATGCTCTAACTTCCCGCCACATGTACTCTGTGTGCTCAGTTTTCACACGGAGACCTGATCCCGTACCGCGACGAGGTTTCTACACGTACTTTGGTACGTTTTACCGTGTGGCGGAAACTCCCTATTACCGTAAAATCCCGCCAGAGCGCCCCGTCTCTCCCATGCGCCCCTCTCTGATTTCTTGTCAGGGAAGTGAGAATCCTCGTATGACTGTGAAGTGTGATGCTGTATCGCACTGTAGACGCGAGGTCGACCCCAATGGAAATGTACGCAATAGTTCACACCCTCTTGACCAGGGGTCGCACAAATCCTGGGTTTTGATGGGTCTTTCAGGTTTTAGCGTACCGTGTCGTACGGTTTCCTAGGGTACAGCCAATCAGCACTGCTCACGTGGTAGGCTTTATTGAGCGATAAAAGGCCTTGGCCAAATTCGTTGCAAATAAAGCTTGTTCACGTGAGCTCTTATAGCCAATCGCAGCTGCACCAGGTTTGTACGGCGGGACTGACTGCGCATGCCCACGCCTGCGCAGCCAGTCGCCACCGTCCATTCCTGGCACAGTTGCGGTTAGCTTGACCTTACCTTTTTGGACGTGTAGTTACCGCTTGTGATTAGCTTGACCTTACCTCGTTTGCCGTGTAGCTACCTTTCGTACGACCACGTCTGAGATGGATCGACGTCGTCAAGAAAGACTTACAATGCATTAATCTCTCGCTTCTGGATGCTGTGCAATCTGCTTCTAATAGAGCTGCGTGGCTCGAAATTGTCAACAGATGCGGTGACCTCATGCAATGAGTGATATGCGAACTGTCATTATTATTACCTTTTTGTACCTACAAGATTGCTAATATGGAGCCATCTGCAAAAAGATTCCCTGCGGTCAGTGACAAAGAGATCGAGGAATTGTTGGCGGCACGTGTGCCCAAATCAACAAAAGAGACAACAGCATCGTGGATGCGAATGTTTGATGAGAATCTGAAATCGCTGAACATCACCTGTGATCTACGGAAATGCACGAGGGAAGAGCTAAACGATGTGCTATGCCAATGCTATGCATCAATGAAGCGGAAAGATGGCAAGAAGTACCAAGAGCCAGGCTACTACGGGTTTCGAAGTGCAGTGCAGAGGCAACTGCAACAACACGAGCGCCAGTTCAACGTTTTCACGGATCCAGAGTTTGAGAAGTCAAACAACGTGCTGGACGCAGTTCTAAAAAAGAACAAGCGTGATGGACATTGCGCCCCAGTTTTACACAAGGAGCCAGTCTCCGACATAGATCTCGGCAAGATACGGCAGTACTTCAACACTCACAAGTCTGCTGTTGATCTTGCTCTGCACGTGTGATTTTGCCTGACGCTCCACCTTGGTCTTCGCGGACGTGAAGTGCAGGAACGGATTATGAAAGACGACATAGAAATGTGTCAAGACGAGCAGGGTGAATTTGTGCGTTTGCCTGCCGACCTTGCCACGAAAAACTACCAGGGTGGCAAAGGAGCGCCACGACGTGACGCCGGAGCTGGCCGGATCACTGATCAAGAACAAATAATCAGCATCAAGATGATGATGATGATGATAAAGCATCTGCACCCAGACTGCAATAGATTATTCCAGAGAGCACGGCCTAACTACGCTACACGAGACGCGGTATGGTTCTGCACTGCCCCTTTGGGCAAGACCACCCTAACCGGGATGATGCAAGATATACCCAGAGTGGCAGATTTAACAACTACTTACACGAACCATTGCTTGCGGGCCACTGTAGTTTCCATGCTGTCGGCACGAGGTGTGGAGGAGCGCCACATTATGGCAGTGACAGGCCACCGAAATGCCCGGAGACTCTCGAGCTATTCTCGACCAACGGTGGCATGGCAGAGGTCAATGTCAGACATCCTGGATGGGAAAAAGATCGAAGCACCAGTGGACGGTCCACGTAGTATCTCTGCTCCCCTGTTCACCGATGCAGAGGTGGAGTCCATCTTAAACATAGACGACTTGCTGAAGCCGGAGTCGGAGGCGGTGGATGACATTGACTCTCTGTTAGAGACAGCAACGCCTCTGGAGGATCAACTTCCGGCATGCCAGTTTCGCCGGTGCATCTATCACTTTCAATTTTAACTACTACATTTTTGTAGTATATTGTATGACACACCCTCTTGACCAGGGGCCGCACAAACGTGGGTTTTGATGGGTCTGTACAACTCCTGCTCTTGACCTTTGGTGGGTGTACGAGTCGCACGCACAGTTTTCGCAGGGTGAGTACTTTTATGTAGTACCGAATGCGGCACGTAGGACTCGCCCATCCGCCACTCCCCACCTGGACCTACTCGAAGGGTCTACGAGTCGCATGCACAGTTTTCGCAGGGTGAGTACTTTTATGTAGTACCGAATGCGGCAAGTAGGACTCGCCCATCCGCCCCTCCCCACCTGGACCTACTCGAAGGGCCGCGGAGGTAGGGGCACTCTAGCAGGATTTTATGGTAGTTCGCAAGTATGCATGCAAACAGACACATCCAGTCAAATAAGGGGTCGTCGCAACAGCTTTTTGTCATCTCTGAAACGAACATCATTCTTTATGGGGCGAGCCAAAATGGCTAGTCGATCAATACTGTACACTGTACATGTACATGCATGTGATTTTTGTCGTCCAGCCTAGCAAGATGCGTTCATTTCAGAGGGAGGGGAGGGGGTCTGAGCACGGAGTGAACGAAGTTCATTTCAGTGATGACAAAAAAAACGTTCACAACAACCCCAAGGCACTTGTCCTATAGTATCCGAAGGTTTTCGTTTCCTTCTCATCAAGGAAGGGAAAGGAAAGGAAGGGAACGGAAACGTTCGGAAACCATATGACAAGTGCCTTACTGGATTGGATGTGTGTGTTTGCGTGGATACTCGCGAAGTGCCTTATTGGATTGGATGTGTGTGTTTGCGTGGATACTCGCGAACAAATACACACCCTAGTCGCCAATAATAACATTTAACAAAAAATATTAATGTGTGCAGAAAGAGAACGTGTTGGCTTTACAGTTGTTTGGCCCTATCAGTCGTGAATGTGTCACGAAGAGTTCTTGAGGTGTGGTGTGTTCTCCTGCATTCTCCTTGGGCTTTTTTTTGCGTCTATCGCTGTAAGTATTGCTACTGCTGACAATCTCACCTTGACATTATTTTGTTTTTTCTTTATCTCTCATTTAATACACCTCGTTGACTGATGCAGTTTCTCACCTTATTACAGTATTTCGATAAGAAGGAAAGGAAATGTCCAATAAAGATAATAATGTCTTCTTGGCTGGTTGTGCGAGATATCTTTGATGCATGCGTATACTACACACTAGAATAGTTAAAGGGGAAGTATACCCTAAAAATCAAATTTTCACCAGTTGTAGTTTTGTATGCAAAAGTCACTACAAGCGCCGTTTCGTTCTTATGAAAGCACGGATGACGGCGATTGGTCCATATGTTGACGCTGAGTCAACTGGTTTTGGTCCGAAAAGGCTGCGATGCAGCGTTCGGCCCATATTCCCAATCAAACACGGGTGAGTAAGCGGTCACATGCTCATCTGTACACCAGTCGCCTGGTCAGTGGTCACCTTGCCTGAAGGCTACAACTTTCAAACCAAGGTTAAACTCGAGTGACAGGCCGGATCGCTGTAAAAGTGGTATCGTGCAGGCACGGTTACCAGGTGACTAGTGTATGCACGTGATTGCTTACTCACCCGTGTTCGATTGGAAATAAGGGCCGAACGCTGCATCGCAGCCTTTTCGGACCAAAACCAGTCGACTCAGCTTAAGTGACTTTTTGAATACAAAACCCCATCTAGTAGGGCGCAGTCACCCAGTTTCAGTGGAAGTGCGCGAGTTCAATTGGGAATAAAGGAGGAAGGGAGCGTCTCAGCTTCCTCGGACCAAGACCATTCGACTCAGCACCCCGAAGACTACAACTGGTGAAAATTTTATTTTAGGGTATACTTCCCCTTCACAAACACCACTGGGCACTGAGAGATCTGTAAGACAGTAGGGAAAATATACATACGCCTTGAAGTTGATCAATCTCTTCCGTGCTGGGAGCTGGGAGTTTCTGGCCCCTGACAACGGGCCGGTTGGCCACCAGCTCCTTCGGTCCAAATTGCAGCTGGCCGCAAAAATCACAGGTCAGGTTGGCTTTGTTCTTGACCGGCGGCAAGATGTAGCACTTCAACTTCTCGTCATAGACGAAATTGAAGCGCTTCTCAATGGGCTCGGGAGGAGGGACAACCTCGTTGATCTACAATATAGAAAAGCAAGCAGGGAAGGCCGATAGCGGATCAGTTCACCTCAGCTACACTTACACCTTCCAGCAACTAGACGTAGGTGAATGCTGTCAGGGCTGGACAATTCTCCTTCTCGCCTTCAGGCGATCCAAATCCAATCAACACAAAGCTAAATTCAGCATGTGCATGCATGAAAGGTGTTCAAGCCTAACAAGAACCTGAGAACTTCTGAAAACACATGCAAACATGAAACGATAGTTAGAAACCTAGAACGACATCCTCACACGATAGATACATTGCGCAGCTATCACAACTTGACCGTCAGCTAAGCACGTACCTCTTGAGTCTCGCGGCGGTACTGAAGCAAGCTTGGTACGTTTGTGTCAGACATGACCGACATCACGTCCAGGAGAGCCTGGTCATACCCTTCCGGCGTCACAACCACATTCTTGCGAACAAGAGCGAGCAAAGTGTCATCATCACTGTCACTCCACGAACCCAAGCTGCCAACGGATGCCTCAAGTTCGCTACTCTCCACAGCCTCGTCCTCGTCAACAACAGCCATAGCAGCTATCTCTGCTGCATTGCCATCAGGCACTTGACTAGCTTCGGAGGTGGACTCCCTCGCAGTTTGCAAAGCTTCAAGGCGCTCACAAACAGCGGATAGATCTAGCATTCCCAGCTCTGAGCTGTCTTCATTGCAGCCACCTGTTGGAGATCCGAGGGAACTGGGTGGTGCACTAGCTTTGTCAGTGCTTTCTGTACGCAAACTATCACTTGGATCATGGCCACTAGCATTGTCACTGCTACTAGACATTGGCATCGGGGTATCCAGCTCTGATTCATCTTCAATGATCAGCTCAGCGTCCTCATCGATCATGCCGAGGCCCTGGTGGTCTGTTGGGCGTACAACTTTCGCCAGCTTCCTCCTGGGCACGGCGTTTTGACCGGCATTCTCATCGCTGCCCGGTGATGGGTGTTCATCCATTCCGCACGCAGGGGTCGTCGTACTACTGAGGGGAGGTCCCGTGGCTGGACAAGCACATTTCAAGTCGCATTTCCCTGCAGAGAAGAACATCATCCATGGCACACAATGTGACACACTAGTTACACTCCTGACTATGAGCGAGAACAGTAATGCACACCACTGAAATCGTGAACTTTGATTGCCGGGAAGCAGCTCGTAATGTTATCCCCCATCAATACAATCAAATATTGATTGTACCCCAATTTACATGTCACCTGCACATCCTGAAGGACAGTTTAGAGGCTTCAGGAGTGCATAGACCATTGGACGCCCATCGCCAGAGGCGATGATAGCGATGCTACAGCAGAAGCCATAACAGCTTGTGCTGGGATTCCACCATTCAACAGCTTGCAAGGCTGAAGAATTGACCGCCACTATTCAGCCTGGTCTACACCACACAGCTATGAAGTGGCTTTTTTTGGCCAGTGAATCCCTACTTTTTGGTCTTTTTCATTTTTTTTCACGCACATACATCACACCACATACTCCGGCATGCACTGGCTGTTGGTAACCACCCAGGAGAATGAAAGAACAGTCAGGTGAAGTCTGAGAAAGAGAAGAAAGACGTGTGTGACCATAATCGTCGGGAATCGAACCCGCAACCTATCGATTGGAAATCGCTGCACATACCACTGCACCATATGAGTGCATAGACATGAGTAAAGGAGTGAATTCAAGTGTTGGCATCCTCCTCCCCCCCCCCCCCCCCCCCCCCGCAACCACACATAAAAGCACGCGCACAGCACATCTTCTTGACGCTGAGTTGAAGAGTAAGGTCGGAGAAGAGAAGCTCCACACAAAAACCTATTTACTAGTATTTAGTGTGACCTTAGTCCTTAGTACAGTGAAACAGCTGTCTAAGACGACTGCTCTAGGGACTTTCAAAGTGTGCTCTCTGTAACCAGGTGGTCTCCTTATCCAGTGCCATTTGACTGGAAAAAGCATCCCCTGGTCCTGGCTGCAGTGGTCTTCTGGGACAGGTGGTCGCCTTATCCGAGTGGTCGCTTCGACAGGTTTTTCTGTACACTAAGCTTCTCACACCGTACACAATTCTTTGCACTCTGCCATACGGTTTTCATTTCCCTGGCCGTAAAATCAAGGTGGGGGCGCTCTCGTGAGACGGGGCGCTCTCGTGAGACGGGGCGCTCTCGTGAGACGGTGCGCTCTGGTGGTACTTTACGGCAAGCCCAAGCTTAGTCGCCCTGGGCTTACGGTAAGCCCTCCTAGATAAGTCACTCATTAGTTTTAGGTGCAAGCTTACATGATGTGGCAGGCTTGCTCAGTTCACTCAGGCTGAACTAGCCCTACACCAAGACCCCGCGCATATCATACGCTCAAGGCTTATCTTCTTGTGGAAACACAGAATATGGTTTTTTTTGCGAAATGTTCTGTTTCGCAATTTTGCCTCTTGAACCTGCGAGTATTTCGTCATGGATAGTGCAGAGTCGTGGGCAGGGCGATCGCGCATTTTTTAGTTCCTGCTTTTGGCTTCTGTCCAGATATTACCTTCACCTTCTCGGGGAAAGAAGTGAAAACTGGAAAGGCAGCAAGGACGTGATCAGACACTTCTTGGTCCAAATTTATCGTTCACGAATACTTACCATGGTGTTTGTGTGCGATTTGAAAATAAAATGCACGCAGTACTACTTAACTTGCAGTCTCCCACCTGGAGTCTAAATAAATAAGCCAGAGGCCAGCACAAGCCTTGGGCTTATTTTTCTCGTGTAGCCCCCCCCCCCCCCCTCAGTAGTTAGTGAAATCGACACCAAAAGACCAATACTAGAGACTTGATAGCCGCGTGCCGGGGTTTCGTGTTCTTTACAATGTACCGTAGTTCTTTGTTTTTCATGAGGGTCCCTGAACCAATGTGAACGTCCGAAGTCTGCGTTGCGAAACACTTGCATGCAGCACATGGGGCAGCTTGACATTAAGATTTTTACAAAATACGTGTCCGTGGAATGTTGGAATGATTTCAGGAAAGAACTTATCTGATCACACTTCGCATTCTTGATATTGCAGCTAGCTAGCTACAGCACAATAGCTGGCCACCACGCGCCAGTTTGGCTATACCGGAAACAATCAATTTGAGTCCATTCTTTTACTTACCAATCCATCACAGGCTGCAGGGTTCAACATCGCCATGGACTAGAGTACTGGGTAAGTGATAGGCTTTGAATTATTTGAATGTGACCAGATGCAGATCGTTATTATCCGGATAGCATCAATCGTAAATCAAAGGACATAACCTTTATTGTTGAAAAAAGTCAGTAAGGATTGCATGAAACATACTACTGCTACTGCATTCTACTAGCTAGATCAAGAGGGGGCGACACCATTGCACACATTTGCACAGGCACAGCGTATTTCTTCTTGCCGAGTTATCTGTTCACACACAGTGACTTTCTACACTAGCCTATGGCTATCATCGGCTACACTCTGTAGTACAGCAGCAGCTGTAAAAAAGTGAAAGGATGACACTTGACATGTCGACGGTACAAATCAGGGAGTACTAAAAAACGGTTTTTAGTATTCTCCTTTTTTATTTTTTTTATTTTTTATTTACATGTAGTACTCGCGGTGCGCACGTGCATGCACGTAGATCTACGTATGTGCACATCATACTGCGAGCTACATGTAGCTGCGTGCTCATACTTCATGTCGCGTACGGGAAAGCCATCGCGCGACTGTCGCGCGATGACTTTCCCGTACGCGAAAATAGTTGAGCTCAGATCAGAGCAACCAGCACAGCCACAACCAGGGAGTACTCCCTGGCCACAACTGGCGCTGGGCCGCTGGCCATGGCACAAGCTGCGCTGGCGCTCGGCCAAGCCAGGCACCATGGCCTGGGGACCGGAAACGCCGCTCGAGACATATACCGGTATGTGTAGCGAAATTCCCGTATGTCCTACCTCACGACTCGAGTCATGACGACATGATCTGAGCAACACTTGCACTAGCACTAGCTAGTACATGATTGTACTACACTACTACAGTGCTGGCAACTGAAATCCGACCCCCTGGCCTGGGCGGCGCGCCGCCTAGGGGATCAAATTTCAGTTGCCAGCACTGTACTTACTAGTACTACTACATGTAGAAGTACAATGATGTAGAAGTAGGTGCTTGCTCGTAGAGGGTATAGCAAGAGTGCATAAACAGTTTTTTATGGACTCTTGCTCGTAGCCGGCCGTAGGGTCTACAACTCGTCTACGTGGCTACGACTGTTCTTGCGCATCATACGGGGTATCCGTATTAGGGTACGCGTACACCAGGAAAGTAAAAGTACGACAATTAATATTTTGGACATGTGCCGAGTATGCACCAGCAAAAAGGAACGAGATTGCGTACCAATTCCCTCCAAAAACAGAATTTTCCCACCAAAAACAGAGTCAGAAAGCCATGTACGCAATATCTCCAAATATAGATGCGCATGCGTATGTAATTATGATGGGACAGGGTGCGTTACCCCGCCCCGCTGTCGTGCACGGGTGATCCGTGCCTTGCAGGCATGGCATGCCACCACCGGTACGCGGTGCACCACGCCAGAAGCGCGCGAATAGTCATGGGCCCGGCCGGTACGCTGGGTAGGGCAAAGGCGTGGATCGTATGGGGTTGACCCCTGTGGGCATACCAGACAGACACCTTGAGTCTTGACTGTACACAGATACAATGCTAATGGCATGCACGCACCAGCACATGTGTCTGCTTGTACCGGTAGTACTTGCTTGCTGGCACTGCATCCTCTTGCCGGAGCTTGGCCTTCCATCACCAGTGGAGAGGACTTCTCGTTTAGTACGGTCCTGTTTTTTTTTCGGCTTTGCGAGTTCTCCCACTCCCAGGACTTGTTGCTTTGGTCCTTTCCATTTTAGGCCAGCGTCACTGTCCGCCGACGACCTTCATACACAACGAGGTAAGTAGGCTTGCGCCGGTGCTGTGGCTGTTTTTCCACAAGGACTTCAGTTGAGTAGGGTTTGTGGTAACATGGCTTCCATCGCGGATTTTGTTCAATACCACCAGACTACTGTATCTCGTTGGTGAAGCCACGGAGTAGACCTTGCTGAGCACGACTAATCCGATCACCAATTTTTAGACCTATTTTAAGTAACTCTACCACTCAACGTAACTATGGGCCGAGGAGTACGGAAAGAATACAGCAGGGTAAGTGTCAGCGTGTACCCATGCTTCAAAGGTATTGGCAGTTGTCTTCGAATTTTGTGCTGTTTACCTTTTGACTTGGTGCTTCGTGGAGTCATGTCTTACAATCCCCATGACCTACTTCCGCTTGGCCTGGCATTGGACGCCAAGTTTATATCCTTGACAAGTAGTTCCAACAGTAATGCAAGGTGCCGTTTTCGACGATTGTTTTCGAACCACTCAAACGTCTACACCCGAATTTTTGAGCTCAGCTCCTGGAAACAACACCCAGGGCTTGCCTGACATTTCAGTATGTCTTGAGCTGTGTTAGCTCTATCCGTGCGGTCCTTGAACATTTTTCATTGTACCTCATGTGTGCATTTTGCACGAATATACTAGTTATACTGTCCCAGTGGCAGTGGTACAGTTACGCTTGTGCCGATCCTTCCACAAGAGAAATGTGATGATAAGCGGACACCAACACTAGAATTAATCTGCACTGTCCTTCACTGCCCTCCACTTCAATACTGCGTCTCCTCTACTTGATAAGCGTGATCAAACCACGCCGTTCTTGCTTGCCATTTTTATCGTATATTTTGTACTACGCGGCGCCATCACTACGGTTTCATCAAAACCAACGTTTTCGTTTCAAACGTCTGCCTCTTCGCGCGATCTCTGCCTCTGGCATCGACAGGAGACAGCCCACGAAGATTGTCTGTGTGTGTGTTCCCTTCCTGTTCTCCCAACTGCGAAGAATAGTGAAGCGAATGGCACTTCCGTGACAGTTGGTATCAGCAGCAGCAGCATCCGTGCACTCGGGCAGTTTTGACGTAATGGCAACAACTGCCCTGCCTCGGTCGGCCAAGGGTCCTGTGTTCCGTGAGATTGCACACGAAGCGCTGGAGGCTCATGGGCACGAACGAGCCACAGTCAGTGCAGCTGTTTCGTATCTTCTTGTGTTTGCCTCTCTCCTCTTTGCACTAAGTGTGATTTGTTCAGTTGATCTCCAGTTGACCATGAATGGTGTTGTAAGGGCGTGTAGGTAGTTGTGATGTGTGGGTAGTTGTGATGTGTGGGTAGTTTGGATTGTTTGTGTGCTTAATCTGATGAGTGAAGACTCCTGCATGGCCCACCATAATTATATCGGAACTATAGAAGGTATATTCAGGTTGTACATTGCAAATTAATCCATTTTGTAAAAAATGACGGTTGTGTATTGTGATTGCAGCCCGGTTTCAAGATGTTGGAAATTTTGTGCGTTTCTGTTCTCAGGGACCAATGATAGCAGAATGCCGGGAGTCAGCAGGACCCTGGCCTGATTGTTTTGATCTCAACTACACACTGTACGTACATGTACATGCACAAAGTCTTGTTCATTCATGATGCTTTGCCTGCTATGCTACAGTTATGCTAGGTGACATAGGACCAAAGTATCACTCTGCATAATATTTCCAAAATTGGGCATTTGTTCTCCAATTGGCTAGAACTCTATTCGACAATTTGAACTGCCTGAGCAATAGCGAGGTTCCGGACAACGTAATTGATCTGGGGAAAGTCTTACGTACACTACATGCGGATCCGTATTCCGCCATACATAGTTTTTGAATCACGTAGCTGCCCTTGGCAACTCCAAACACGCCAGTGTACGACTTAGGGAGCGAGTCCTAAATTTACGGAGCACCTCCATTAGTAGAGCTCCATTTCCGTACCCTATGTAGACAACTTTCCGTAAATGGAGTGCAAACTCGCAAATTCTATGGTTTTCCCACCCACTTTCGTAAAGTTGCTCAACTTGTCTGACGTGTGAATGTTGTGAATGTCTAAATCAGCTATCTTTTGATCTTGGTTCCACAGGGATAGTCGTGATCCCGTTAAAACACACAATGCTGTTCAGCACCCTTCTCGTAGTTCCCCGATGTTGTCGACGCGGCAAGATCTCGCAATGGACTTTCCTGGCAAAGGCACTGATGGATTTTTAAAGACAGCAAAGGTTGGTTTCGTTGTGCATTCGTGCGTCATATCATTTGTCACCTCACAGATCCTATGCTTTCTGTTATGGGGTTAGATGAAGGTTGTGTTTGGTTGGTCATTTTCAGAATGTAAATGACAACCATTTCGGAATGGGAATTGGCGAGAATCACCTGACCAAACAAACGCGCCAGAATCAATTAGGAATCGCTTGACTTAACAATTCCATGTTGTTGTGGAACGGTGGCTCTCTTCTTCTTTTACCCGACTCTAGTTTCCTTGAGAGTCATAGTACTTCTGAGAGCAGGATTTGAGGCACTTGAACCTGTTGTTACATTGTTTGGCTCATGGCCACCATTGTCATTTTTGATTCCGGAATGAGAATGCTCATTCCAGCACGTGAGGTGGAATGATCATTCTCCAAAAAGAACCATTCTTAGCAATTCCCATTCAGGAATAGGACCAACCTAACGGAGGTTTTTGACCAAACAAATACCCAGTGAATGCCATAGTGGAATGTGACCAGCCAAACGCAGCCTAAAACCATAGCCAAGAGTACATAAACCAGAGTGTGCAACTGTGCATATCAGATCTGAATCAGCCCTGTTCGTGCACTACGTCACCCTGATGAGGTCTGCCAAGTCGCGACTTGCGCACAGCTCAAGTTTTCGTGTTTCATAGCCCGGAAATCAGCCAAGTTTGCTTGATTTTAGACGTCCTGTTTCAGGATTTCGGGTGTTTTTGTTTGACTGTGTATGCTGCGTACATCCACCGACAAGTAAATTCACCAGGCTGTCCGTATCAAAAAAACAAAATCAGGACAAACTCAGTGACCTGCACCACCGTGACTGGCTGTGCAACTTTTCACCGTACCTGTGGCTTACCATGCCGTCAGAAATGACGTACTGCACGAATTACGCTCCCACACTGACCATCCCGAGTTGCACACTCGGTGGTTTATGTACTCTTGCCATAGCCCATTGTGCATTGCCAATGAATACATGTGTGAGTATTGCATGTGAGTATGCTAGGATCAAGGATGCACTGCTTAAAACTACGTAATTGTGCAGAGAAAGCTTATTGACTTCGCTCGGAATATCTGAACATCTGTGTTCTATTATATTTTCGTCTGTTGTCGATGTCGCTGTTGATGATGAAACAGACTGAAAGTCGGTCAAACACTCCAAACGAAGGTGTCTTATAGGCTATTCAAACTACGTTACAATGCGCGTCACGTTTTGGAATACGACATACTGGCAGACGTTTTCATGCAGGTGCATTCACACAGGCACGTACACGCTGCTCGTACTGCTGTGCGTACAGCTTCTTTTGGACACAAACTGCTGGGAACGACGGAACGAAACTCGGTACAGTACAGGGTATGGATACGTCGTCTACGGGGGGTCTTTGGGTGCCAAACAGCCTCTCGATATTTTCAGCCATGGTTCGAGAAAGATCAAGGCGCGCGAGCTGTCAACCAGTGACTGCAGTGGTCGCATTTATGACTCGGTCGGTTAATTCCTAATGCTGCATTCTGTCACCTTCTGGCATAGCACGGGCAAAACCGAAGAAGACGCGACGAGAGATAGTATTTCCAAAAGACGTTCTTTGCCGTGCTGTTGTTTTTGTTCTACTGGAACGCATTGATGCTCTTGTGCGCATGTATGCGTATGTGATGTATTTAGTTTGCAGAGAAGCACAGCATGTGAAGCCACGTAGAGCGCTGCTCAACGTGGACTTATAGGGGCAGTGTACATGTAGATATAATTATAGCGCCATAAGTTATAACGGAATTCTGAGTGTAACACGTGTGAAAGTAAACAATTTGCAGTTGTGCGGCTTTATTATTCTCCCAATTTTGCCTAGTCTCATTGCGTGACCGTTCCTGTCTTTTTCTTCTTTTTTCCTGTGCAGGGTGCACTGCGAGATTGTCGGGATTCAGGTGCACCTGCACCTGCACCTTGGCCTAACTGTTTCGACCTAAACTACACCCTGTAAGTGTCATTGACAGAACAAGCCTGGAGTATAGCGAAGCCGGTCCATAGTGTGAACTCACCTATTATACCATATGTCAGCGCCTTTAAAGCCATGGCCTTATATTTGAAACACCGCTGCTTTCCTAGATATTTTAGATGCAAAATGACTCACCCACTACGCCATGCCATAAAAGTCAACGTCCACACAGAAATTTCAATCTAAATCTACCTGTTCACCCTTCCTGCGGGGCAGTTTGTTAGCGCAGTACTTATTCCTTCATTTTTGCAAAACATACTTCAAATGTCATTTCATTTATGAAGCCCATGGCTTTATAACTGAGGCTGGCTTTATAATCGAATATACCGCCATGGCGCCAGGTGCGGACATACGGTAATTACTAACTCTTTAGGCTGTCATCACACTACGTTGCAAATCGCTGCGTCTACATCCACGCAAGGAGTTTTTGGTTGGCTGCCATGATGATCCATGTACGGGTCGAACACGGGAGCAGAGGGGTATACAACTAGAACGGATGAACGTTTGTATCTCTCCCAGTCTTTTTCCAAGCGACCTTGTATGTGCATTTGAATTTTCAAATTTCTCCAAAAACGTGACCACCCTAAATGCGTCATAGGACAGGAAGAATCATTGTCCCACGAGGCCTGCACCCATAAGGGGGCTTTATGCATTTTATGGTCCGGTGTACATCCGTCACGTTATCCATGTGCTCATACAAAAGTAACAAATTAGCTCCCAATGCTGCCATAACAGCGACTTTCTTTTGTACAACACCTCAATGACGAATGTGTGTTGAGATATCATGAATTAACCGAATGAAAGTCCAAACTGCATGTGTATACATTGGAATGCGGGTAACACGGGCTTATTACGCAGCCAGTACGTGGAGAAATATGCACATTGCGACCACTGTAAGCAAATATGTACTGCAGATTGTTTTTGTTTGGATAGATCTCTACACACTTGTTGCTATCGGAGCGGTCCTCTGGTTTTCTATAGGGCAGCCCTTGTTCAGTTCGCTTGACGTTACATGTACCGATGAGCGGTTTACCACTTCGAAATCAGGGGTATGGGTATGTATATAATACAACCCAACAGTACGCTTGTACGTGAAATATAAACCGACATACAAACCGAGGCGAAGCCGAGGTTTGTATGATGGTTTATATTTCACGTACAAGCGTACTAGTGGGATGTATTATACTTATGCTGACCTTCATACAAACTGACAGTCAACTTCTTCCTGTTTCAGTTCGCAACTGCAGAAAACGACCATTGCAAATATGAGCTCAGGAGCTCACTTGAGGCTCGTCCGTGCTTTTCTCATCATGAAAATATTGAGAAAGTTTCAAGTCTGCGCAGTAGTGACCTGCAGAGCTTCGTGCTAAAAGTGGTCCAAATCCGAATTTTCTGGGGTGACGACCTTGGAGTAGACGCGCGCGCCAAAACAAGAAGTAAAACTCGCAAACATAGCTGCTAAGCACTCATTCCGTTTCTGTCACCGTTGTGGTCAGTTTGCGTTTTGCTGCTTCTACTTCTAGTACAATTCCTGTACTTTCTTTCGCAATGAGTGACGAGCTTCCCCAAAAACGAGTTTTTGGGTGTGTCACCTACGATGAGCAAACGGAGCTAATTGCTCAGGGTGTCCCCAAGAACACACGCTATTCTACTGAGTACTGGTTGCGAATACTTGATCCTGCGGGGAGGGGAGATGCAAGCCAAGTTGACGAAACACGACCTCCAATTCACCACCATTGACGGTCAGGAAGTCCTGCGACTTGCCACATCATTCGTTTCCAAGAACCACCAGCTGCAAGGTTCAGACTGGTCTTCTGCAGGCGTCATCCGCGGTGAGTTTCAGCTGTCGGCTATCAAGTGCTATCTATCCAAACTGCATCCTGACGAGAATCGTTTGTTCCAGCGAGCTTTGTCAGATGAGATGTCTGCTGCTGCCTATTGCTGGTTCATGAAAATGCCTCTTTCACACAATATCTTATCTGGCATTATGAAGCGCTTGTCCTCGGATGCTCTTTTGTCAATGCAGTATACTAATCACTGTGTTAGAGCAACATCAATTACCAACATGAAAAAATGTGGTGTGGATGATAGGAGAATTTGTTCTGTTTCTGGTCATCGCAATGATCAGTCTCTTACTGCTTATGATAGGCCCAACCTAACAGAGCCGTGCTCTATGGCTGAAGCTATTGATCTGAGATTGCCTGTAGCTGATAAATCAAACCATGCTGTGCAGTCATCCACACCCGCTGTCACTGTTCAGAGCCATTCATCTGCTGTTCAGAGCTCTGCTTCTGCCGTATCTCCTTATCTGAATGCTGCTTCCACAACCTTTAAGCACAGTTCTATTGTGTTCAATATTCACGCAGAGCGTGCTGTTGAGGCTCGCAAGAAACTGAAGCGCAAGCATCCTGCTGAATGATTATCTTTTTTTGCTGCTAGGCGCCTAGCTTCCTCTAAAGCTGATTTGCCTGTTGGCGTGTAGGCATGGTTATTCTGCTCATGAGATACAGGTCTACTCTCCATATAACGTAATCTCTGGGACCAAGCAAACATTATGTTATAATCGAGAGTTATGTTATGTAGAAAACCGTGTGTAAAATACAAGATGCACCTCAAAATGAAGGGTATTACAAGGCGGGTTCAACCGTGCAAACATATACACTGTACCACCATCGACATCAGATACCACCAATGCCGCAGAATATATGCACATAGGACTAAACTGGCTAACTACGACTACAGCTTGATTGTACCGCGCACGTGAATCTACGTTGTATCGAGAGTGTACACGTCGGGGACTGCGCTGTAGGGTGCGTTATGCCGAGGTTTACGTTATGTAGGACTAAACTGGCCTAAACTGCCTAGCTACAGCTACCGCTTGATCATACCGTGCACGTGAATTTATGTTGTATCGAGAGTGTGCACGTCGGGGACCGCCGTAGCGTGTGTTATGTCGAGGTTTATGTTATGTAGGATTATGTTGTGTAGAACAAATTTTGTATGGGAGTGATGTTTCGGCGCCGGATTTGATTTTTTTATGTACTAACGGGGTTTATGTACAAGCGAGAGTTGTTATATCGAGAGCAGACCTGTAATGTGATAATAATTCTTCTCAATCTCTAAAAAGGAGTTTGTATGGTGGTGGTCTATATGGGGTTTGTATGAGGTTTATATGCCCAGTATAAACCGCCAGCATGATGGGCAAGTTGACTGGAAGTTTGTATGAAAGGTCAGCATAAGCAGATATATCCAGGTTCGAAGACCTGGAATTGACCCCATTTTGTCCATGTTATGTGCTCATCTGCTTTTCCGGCAGAATCTGCCAGTTGTTTTTTCGAGCATACCCACGGGACCGGGGTTACTGCAGCCTGTGTCCTTTGTTTGAGGGGATGAACTGTGCCCACTTTTTCCAAACTTCAAGCTGCGTTCAATTTCTTTGCCGCCTCGCGTTTTATTCCTGACAATGCGTGTGTTTTTAATTCACTTTCTTGCCCTGTAGGCAAAGTGGTGAAAGTGGAAAGAATGCACACAATCCTGTTTCGCATCACTCCTTCAGTTCACCAATATCAACCGCCCCTGGCAATTCGGCATCGGAATTCTTGAGTAAACAAAGTTCTCCATTTGATTTCGATGATTTTCTAGCAACCTTGAAGGTGAGCCAGTGCATTGAATAAGCTGTTGAAGTCGTTAATCTCGTTAATTTACGTCGTGTGCACATTGTAGCTCCATAGAAGCGTGGGAAATGCCTAACTTGCTTGGGTGGAGGGGCGGAAGACCCCGTATGTCAAGTTTAAGTTCATGTCTCTGCGCTCCATTTTAATGTACTTCGCAAATTTGCACCATTCGCTTTTGCCCACAGACAACTCAAGAGATGGACAGGCAGAAAGGGAAAGTAAACAGAGGATAAAGGACGATATGAAGTCAGGTTTTCTCCTATAACATTTCATTTGATTCATCATCCCAGTTATCAAGGAGCATTATGACTAGTTGGCTTCAACACCAGAAGATGGCAGTGCACTTCAAACTTAGTCAAGAGGACTCATCCAAATAATGTGGTACTGTAAGACATGTATATATAACGAGGAAGCAAATCTAACGTTTTAACGGATGACATTTCTCCGTTATAATAAGATCCGTTGAGGCCGTACTGCTTCATATATGCTGTGTGTGGATATGGCAGAATACTGCAAGATCGTTAATATATCGTCTCGCTAACCTATGAATTTTGGACAATCGTTAAATTTGCGACTCGTTATAATAACATGTCTTACAGTATGGGCATTTGAATTTCAAGTCTCGAAAAATCTTCAGGCGAAATTGTAAAGGCGACATTTGGAGCGTACCCATACATCCTAGGGATCAGTGCAGCGTACACTTTGTGCAATGTACCAGCCCCCCCCCCCCCCCCCCCCCCCCTGCGTCATACAACACTAGTTATAAAAAAAAACTCTAGTTGACATCGTGACGTGCTCTGGACCTTCTTTCTGTTTTCATTTTATCCAGTGCAGCGTACACTTTGTGCAATGTACCAGCCCCCCCCCCCCCTGCGTCGTACAACACTAGTTGTAAAAACCTCTAGTTGACATCGTGACGTGCTCTGGACCTTTTTTTCTGTTTTTATTCATCTTATCCTGCAGCCCGAGGAGCCCGACAGTAGCCCCCAGGCTAATACCGGTAACACATCGCGCTTTAAACAGTTCTTCGACGATTCACATGGGACGCCGCCACCTCGTGGCCTCCGGCACGTTCATCCGTCTGCTGATCATCATAGCAAAGATGAACAACAGGCTATCATTCCACCATATCAAAGCGTGAGTTAGCTATTGTGTGTGTGTGTGTGTGTGCATATGTGTGCGTGCACCTGTGTTCGAGGCAGGGGTAAATGCAGTTGGATCCCAGGACGGATACCTTGACGCTGTCAATCTTTTTTTCTGCACATTGCCCTCCACACACTTACTGTGGTGTGGCGAGCCCAGAAGTTTGATTATTTCCAAGTTTATCGAGAGTGTGGACGGTTCAATAGCCAAATGAATCTTTTTTCCAAGATTCTCTCTCCCCTGTTCAGATAGAGACCCACATGACCAGTTTATGGCACAGGAAAGAAAAGAAAAAACCAAGCCATCTCTTTCTACAGCATCTCGCAAATAGAATTCACCAGACGAGTGTTCTTTGTTTTGTTTGGCTCTGTTCTGAGACTACTTTGCAGCTTGCCTTTGGTCGGTACTGGTTTGCTTCCGTTCAAGGCAAACGACACACCATGGCCCTTTTTGGTGCCTATCGTCTTTTGTCATTATAACCAGTGCTCTTGCTCGGTGCGGGGTGCATCTTAATTGTTGAAAGGCCATGCCTCTATGATGTGTGAATCTGTTTTTTGTGTGTTCCCATCGGCTGTGTTGATTCAGTGTCAAGCCAATGCAGCAGCACCTGGTCATCCAACGCACCTCTCCACGCAGCACCGCATGTACGAACTCCAACAGCATCAACAGTTACCGCGAAGAGGTCGCAAGGTGTCCAGCCGACGCCAAGCCCCCTCCAAACCCCTGTCACAGCAGCCATCCAATGGCAGTCCCGAAGTGCGCCACCCGTCTCCATGCAATCCCTTCGACTGTCACAACATAGATGACATCACCGAAGCAGATATGGCAGCAGCAACTGCTCGCTTTCTAACAATCAGAAAAGCAAGCGTGGCGTCTTCTTTAAATGAAACTAATACTACACGGGTAAGTTCGTTTTTGCTGACCAGCTACTAGTACATGTATCTGTATTGATTGTACAGTCGTCCCTCTCTAATCCGGCACCTTTTGCAACGGCGCTTTCTGCTGGATAAACAAGGGTGCTGGATTATCAAATCCTGCCCTCCAACCCGGCCCACCTGTTAACATATATGTTGGTGTTGTACGTCAAAACGTAGGGATTTTCTGTGTCAATCCAAGTACTTTGTGGAATGCATGTCTTTAACATACACTTGGGAATATCCTGTGCACTGGCATAGGATATTCCCAAGTGTATGTTACATGTGTTGTGTATAGGAGTGATTTGTGGCAGAAAATCGTTGCTGGAGGCGGAATTCAAGTGCCGGATTAAAGCGTAGAAAATGAACTGAAAAAATCCGTTTCGCCAGAAAGTGTGCTGGTTTGCAAGGGTGCTGGATAAACAAATGCCGGATTAGAGAGGGACGACTGTAATCACAAAGCCGGTAATAGTGATTCGAGCTGCATATTTGTATCTCTATATTTCATTCGCTTGTTGACATATGAGAAGCCCGGCTGCTATAACTGGTGTGGCCGGTCGTAGGAGTAGTTTTCGTCACGGCGAATTCAGCATCCTTGACGTATAGAGATGAAAGTAAACAGCAGACCGGGGGGCTGTGGACATGGTATGACCTCATTCTGTATGTGTCCTTCCCGCAATGTAGTGAGTAACCGTGACAAGTCTATATACTTGCCAAGGTCCAACTGAGAGGTGTAGATCTTTGCTTTCATCGTCAAATTTCCTCTTTAGCACCTTGTTGTAAAGCCCGATTCACAATACAACTTTCTGCGACGCGACACACGATTTGCGACAGTTGCGACAAGAAACTGCCTGTCGCAATTGAAGAAAACTTTTGCGACATGCGACACGCGACATACACAAATGGAGTACAGTTTCGACCCTGGGTGCACGTGCAGTGCACGTGCATAGTACTACTTGTGCATGAGGATGTCGCAAACATGAAGAATATTGTGAACCGTGTGTCGCTGTCGCAGCTCGTCGCATGTGTCGCAAGTCGCATGTCACGTCGCAGAAAGTTGTATTGTGAATCGGCCTTAACTGTTCGTTGAATGGTATCATTTCTATCTTCATATTATCTTCTTGTGTGTTTGGTGCAGCCAACAGAAGAAAGTCCAGTGGAGGCAACTCCTCCACCTGTAGACCGAGAACGACCTCGCTATAAGGTGAGGCTCTTTTCTCCCAAAAAATTGTTTGGTGTGAATCGTAATGGAAACAGCACATGTCGCCATGCAGTCAAATCTGTCCCAAGCTGTGATGATAGCTGCCTTCTTTCCGCAGTCTAACGTGTCGGCTGAAACAGCATTCGAGCTCGCTACAAAAGATGTAATGCCGAACTGGGGAAGGAGAACCTGACGTCCGTCATGGGGTTCCTTCCACATCTTGGGCGTAATCTCGGTTGGCGTACTTCTTTCAGAAACCCAAATTCTCTTTTACTGGCCTAGAAAGAAAATTAGTTTATGCAAGAGCCTGTGAAAGAGCTGACGTACTTATGTTTCTATTGCAAGACTGTAGTATGAAAATACAACAGCACCCAGGAGTGTGCAACTCTGCATACGGGTCCGCCGGTGAAAAATCACACCGCGTGTTCCAAGTAAGATCGGTACTGCGCAGAACGCACATATAGGCCAGCATTCACGTGGTCCGAATATCTGCAATGATCTTGTTGAGCACTCACGTCCACTCCGTGGGTTTCTATCAGGTAGTGCTACTTACACTGAATGCTAAAACATACTAGGAACCTGCAGCGGGAACTCTACACCGCGTGATGTGGTTTTCTCCGTTGACGGACCCCATCGAAAGGGTATCCAGCGTTGCGCACTCTTGGTAGCTTATGTCCTCTTGACAGGATGGAGTTAAGTGATGTTGGTTCTCAGGTCCCAAGAAGCGTAAGTGTAATAACGAACTGGTGTCCTCACTCCTGCTTTCTCTCTTATTGCGATAGGCTCAGCAACAATCATCGAACCCATCGCGGTGGTCTCCCAGTACTGCTGCATCGGCAAACGCTGCCAATGCTACGTCCGCTGGTCCATCAGCGCCACCCTCTAACATGGCCACAGCAGCATTACTTCAGGCTAGGCTGCTTGCACAGCAGCGCGCCGCATCCTCCGGAATCTTTCCCGGAGGGCAAGTCACTCAGCTGGTGCGACCGCCAATGCCAGTCTACCAAGCTGGAGTTCAGGGTGGCTTGCCACTTCAATCTGCAGCTCTCCTCTCACAGTTTGTATGGCTCAATGTTCTATGACCAAACCTTGCCATGTCTTCTCTCTTAAAGTCTCCAGACACCCTGTTGTCTGCTAAACTGTCTTAAAACCGTCTTTTGTACATCTTGTGTACCGCCTTCAATGCCAGTCATATGCTCTCATTTCTAGCATTGAAAATCTCTGTATTATTCAGCCAGCCAAGTTGTGGCTGCATCACTACATTTCTTCTGCATTCTCCTTGATGCATCCTCATGATCTGGAACAGTCCCATTGCACGCGATCCGCTACTTCCACACCTCATCTACGGAGTTATTTTTCAGAAAGAAGGCATAGTTTCTTAGACGACTTACCCTTTTCTAGCTTATTTTCACAGCAGCCATACATACCTCTGTTACTTTAGTCTTGTTTACTCCCCATGTTACCCGCCAAGGCCGTTTTTTACTCAGTCTGTTGCCATATCATCAGCCTTTGTACTCGTCCCCCGTTGTTGTCCTCGCTGCCAAGTAGGTTGATTATGCATCTCTCTCTTTCTGTTCCTTTGAATCCACATGCGGCGTGTGGTGTCAGCTTCCACTTACTCTGTACTTTTCGTTGCTGACCTTTTACAACTCTTTACTTTCTTGTAGATTGATCTCTGTGAGCGCTTTCTTGAATTATGTTTACTTTCAAATACATAATACCTTGTGATTGTATTCTCTTTCCATTCTTTCCTAGGGTTTCTAGCCAGCATGCATCTAATGTCTTTTTTAGCGCTCCTCAGCGCATCAACTCTTTCTTGATATACATAATCATACTGGTATGTCCTAAAGTTAAAGGTTCCTCTACATCGTCTTGCTTTTCTTGTCCTCTGTTGGTGTGACAGTCTGCTGGTAGTCTCTCTCTCTCTCTCTCTCTCTCTCTCTCTCTCTCTCTCTCTCTCTCTCTCTCTCTCTCTCTCTCTCTCTCTCTCTCTCTCTCTCTCTCTCTCTCTCTCTCTCTCTTGCTCGCTCTCTACTGCGTTGTGGTTAGCCCATCAGGGCCCAATCACATGTGCACAGGGGTTCCGCTTTGGAGACGAAGTTCTGCGGCATGCAGCCAGGTTTGTGCCTCTCCAGCGGAGAGCCACGTGTGTATCAGGCTTCTAGCCGGGGGGGGGGGGGGGGGGGGGCAGCACCTCGTACTCAGAAGGCCAATTCACAATACAACTTTTTCCGGTGAGCTGCGACACACGGTTCACAATCTTTTGGTATTTGCGACATCCCTTGGCCCAACTAAAGGCCGGTTCACAATACAACTTTCTGTCCCTCCAGGAATCCGCGGACAGAAGTTGAAATTCTGCGGCACAAATCGCTACATTATGCGGCGGATAGCGTGAATTCTGCGGCAATACTGCGGTATTTCTGCGGCGCTGCAGCGGCGAAAAGACATGGCTATATGCTATGTACAAGTATCAATAAAAAATTTAGTGGTCGAAAACACACGATAGGCTCAATACAGTAACGAAGAAAACTGGTACACTTGCTGTACTGTCCATTGCACCTGCACACCAAATGGCCTGGGTTTCTGTGTAAAATTGCAAAACTCCCTCGTCTTTGAATGCGACAAAATAGCGACAGGACACTGCACTGTGCATGAATATGAAGCGCGTGCTCGCATTGCCCCCAATCCGTGATTTTTCACGATTCTGCGGTGAAAACTGTGAATTCCGCGGGATATTAAAAAAAAATGAATTCCGCGGATTTTACCGCGGCCGCGGATTCCTGGAGGGACAGAACTTTCTGCGACGCGATTGGCGACAGTTGCGACAAGAAACTGCCTGTCGCAGAAGTTGAAGAAAGTTTTGCGACATGCGACATACACAATGGAGTACAGTTTCGACTCTGGGTGCATGTGTATAGTACTACTACCGTAAAAGTCCGTAAATATGTACGTATTTACTTTCGAATTTAGTGACCACACCCGTACTAACTTTCGGGCGGGTACTGACTTTCGGGCACGAACTAACTTTCGGACCTGACTTGCGTGTAGTGGAGAAGTCATTTTCATGTCGATGTACATGCTACGTGCTGCATGTGCGCACCGTACCGGTACTTATTTCGGGCAGTATGTTTATCGGGCTTGACTTGACTTCAACAGACAGAGCCTAAAGAATGAAGGGGGTATTTCTTTCGGGCAGGTACTTATTTACGGACTTTTATGGTAGTGCATAAGGATGTCGCAAACATGAAAAAGCCTGATTGTGAACCGTGTGTCGCTGTCGCAGGTGTCGCAACAGTAGGATCGTCGGATTCAAAAAAGCCGTCTAAATGTCGCACGTCGCTTCGCAAGGAGTTGTATTGTGAATCGGCCTTAAGGGCATGTTCGATTGGTCAGGATCGGGATCAGGATCCAGATCTCAGATCCGTCGGATCCTTCAGATTCAACTGAACACTTTATTTTGGATTTGCCATGTTGAATGGCGCTCACAAGTCAAATTACTAGAAAATTGTAGTGAGTCGTTCGGCCAATATTTCTTTTGAATCTCTTCCGGGGAGACCCACGTGATCAGTTTCTGACAGTGGGCAGCAGGTATCTGTAGGTACACTAGGCTGTTACCTTTGAAAAACACAGAGAATTATTTTTCAAGCCAGTTAGTCGTAGAGCGTCAGTACCGTCGGTCAGAGTCGTGCAATGCTATCGCATGAGCTGATTGTGTTTACTGTTTAGTAACTGGTCACAGTGGTGTTAGTGGTCACAGTGGTGTTAGTGGACAGTAACTGGTCACAGTGGTGTTAGTGGACATGTAATGTCAACTAAGTGATTATAGCGTTACCTGTAGTTCTTTGTATCCATTTTTCTTTTCTATAAATTGCTCAGAATTCTGAAGAAATTACTCAAGTAATTTTATTATAGGTCGCATAATCTCACTGTCACTTCTGCTGATTTCTGTGGACATCATGTCATCACCACGGCCGTGGTGTGTAGCCGGGCCTAGTGGACTCGCTTTTTCTGAGCGGACCGTGTCAAGCACCCAGCAAGAATCTCCTTGGGTACTGATTTGCAGTGCATGTTTTCTTGCAGTTTGGACCAGTAATTTTGGTCAACTTCGTGACAGCACTGTGCACACGTGTTACATTCACTCGCTTGTTTCTTGTGGCATGTCGTATTGCAAAACAGGGGCAGTGGAAGGTATTTTACACTGGTATGACTACATGTAGGGAAGGTGGGGGCCTTCCACAGAAAAAAAGTTAAGCGGAAAATTCGGCCCGACAGCATCATGGCTTCAAAATCACAGGATCAAAATATTGGTGCGGATTTGGCCGCATCTGCCGCACCAGTTCCGACGCCCCTAAAAAAGCAATAATGTAAATTGAATCCTACAACGCACATGCATTGACCCTCTTTTCCACCACTCTGTGCTGAAAACAGTGTCTACGGAATGATTGGCTAACAGCAAACTCCACGGGTTTTTTAGGCTGTAAAATTGCAAATTCCTGGAGGGACATGTAGCCGGGGAGGGGAGAGGGGAGGGGGAGGGGTACTTCACATGATCGCGACCCCATCATGCTATGCAGAGTTGCACGCTCGGAGTCTCAGTGGAGCGGGGAGGTTGTAGATCTTATGCAAATATTGACTGTCACGACGGTGAGCTAGCAGGATTCGCTTATGGGCGCTTAGTTAACAGTGCTACTATAAGACATATTACTAACTGTTACAACGAGTCGCAAATTTAACGATTGTCCAAAATCCATAGGTTAACGAGAACATACGATACTGCGACGATCTTGCAGTCTTCAGGCATATCCGCACATATCACATATGTGGCCTTACAGCCTCAACAGAAATTATTAGAGAGGTTCCGCACTCCGTAAAGTTGAGCAACTTTACGTTAGTGGGCGGGAAAAACCCGTGAATTCGCGAGTTTGCACTCCACTTACGGAAAGTTGTCTACGTAGAGTACGTAGATAAGGCTCTGAAAACGTAGCAGGTCCGTAAGTGGATTGGGGTACAAATTTATGACTCTCTCCCCAGGTCGACTCGACCAGATGATCTGGTACGGTACACTGACGCGTTTGGAGTTGCCAAGGGCAGCTATGTGATTTGAAAACTCCGTATGGCGGAACACAGATCCACATGCAGTTTACCTTAGACTGTCTGTAGATCGACTACTGTAAACCAGCCATTATTCTACTGTAAACCAGCCATTATTCTAACGAGGCGCATATACAACGATTTCCCAAAATTGACTAGTTCACGTGTACCAAAGGTAACGATTTTCACTCATTCTCAACGCTCAATAGGACAGTATATGTATCGATTTCTGTATAACAATTTCTATTTTAACGACAGATGTCTCCTCGTTAACTCGTTAGAGTTAGCACTTCGTTATGGCTTTTACAGTACGTTTTTTACTAACGTAAAAATTACGTTATGCGGAACTGCTCTATTATGACGAAGAAATGCCACCCGTTAAAATAATGGACTCAGATGGAGAGCCAAGGTTTAATTTATACAAAAGAGAAAGACCAAGGAACTACAAGTTACGCTGTGTCGTGAAATGCACCCTTCAAGTCACTCTGTCAGTGTGTTGTATTCAGAGGTCTGGCTTGCTTGGCATGCATGGGTGAGAACTGAGAAGTCCAAGGAAGGCCATGACTCACACGAGGCATGAAGCCAGGAACCACGAAATAATTGGTTGAGCAACGCAACCACAAAATAGCCCGGCGATCATCCGACCGGATGTAGTCTGTACGTCGTTGTACTTGTAAGTTGTAGATCAACTCGCGACTGAACTGCATGCAGTTGACATGGCGATAGAATGAGGACGCTCTCTTTACCAAAAACGCTACACAGTAGATCTACACGCCACAAGTAGGCCCACACCAGCATGCTAGCAGCAGTTGCTTGTCAGTTTTCATCACGACTGTGCAGATATGCATTATGGTAAAGGTAGATTTGTCGGGGAAATTAATACCATCGAAACTGCGGCGCTTCTGCGCTGACTAATGGGCAGTGGTATTACTAGCGGATAGTTCTCTTCGCCTAGCATCTTCTTTATATTATAGGGTGTTTGGACTTCCAATAAGCAGCTGGATTTTCTGCAAGATACTACCAAGTAAAGCACTGCAGCAGTGATTTGTACAAATTATTTCAGTACCTTGAATGTTAGTTGTTCGTCTCTTCAGACCGTCTGTCCATTGATCACCATAGCCTGCACATAGCGGATCAACGGCGGACATGCAGCAGCGAGGAAAGGGTAGCTCAGCCACCCGCCCGGCAACAACGCTTGGACGCCCAGCTCAGTCATCCAGCACTCCTTTGAAGGCGATTAGACCGCAGACGTCGGCTGATCTACTGCGGCAGCGCGAGGAAGACTGCCTGTGAGTAAACTCAGGTCGACCGCCTCTCATTCCTGGCTACACGTATCGCTAAAACCATGAGTACATCCATAATAATGGATCGTGGCGTGGTGCACTCCTGCAACAATTAGTACAACCGCTTTAGCTACATGTAGATGTATTGTGTAGTTTAGGTGGGTGTTTACACTCCATTCATACAAAAGAGGATGCCCTAGTTTTTGGCCATAAATGGGTCAAATTTTGAGTTTCCTCACAATTTCTTTTAGCAATACCCATGGAATATGATGTTGCGACTTCGGCGGTACTTAGTGAGTACGAGTACTAGAACTGCTAAAAGGAGAACTGAATAGAAAACAACAGAAGATGCAATAGACAGAATGCATGCATATTATTACAAGCTATGCAGAGTGTCAACTTTCAATTCCCGGGACTTTAAAACTCTTTGCAGAACTCCCTTCACTTCTAGAATCGATAACATTGCTAAATTTTCACCATCTATAAAATTAGCCGGTACGAGTCGTACACAATCATCATCTGTACATCAACGATACAATCGGCTATGCAATTATGCTAGAATCTACCAAAACTGTTATTTGACAACTGTACGACATTATGACTAACATTATTTTCTGTCTTGGGTACATGACGTCAATACAAGGAGAAAAACTTCCTTCTGCCAGCGGAGAGGGCTCGACACAATAATGTAGAGCACTATTAACACCTTCCATTTCTATATTGACTAGCAATCTATACTTTCTGCGCTAATACTGTAATAGCTCGCTCACCTAAGCAACCACTCCACACGGCCATCATGGCAATATTTTCTGTGCTGAATCCGACACCAACCAGCTATCGCTAGGCTATGCTTTATATTGGCCAAGTCCCACTGAATATGTAATAGTCACCTGATGATTGCATTGAGCAAGAAACTCCGAGTTGCGACAAATCTGTAAACCTCCATTGTGCCTTTTGTGTGACGTCAATACATGCATGTATCATTGTTCTTTTCTGAACAGCAAGCGCAATGCCGAGTTGGAAGAGCGTACCAGCAACCTGATGCAGGAAGCCCAGGCATTCCTGGTAAGAATACCCGTGTTCACCCGCTTGCATGGCCCACACTCCGCATTGGCGGAGTGTTGCAGTGCACATGCACACACATACTTCTAGTACATGGTATATAGGTATACGTCAGTGTATGCAGTGCAGTGTTAGAGCGGGTCATGGGGCGCTAGTGCTCAGTACAGTGGAGATTGGATATAACAACACTCCTTCGGGAGAGAACACCATTTCACTATTATTCGATCTGATTGCAGATGCGCATGTGCACAATTCATATGGATTTCAGATATGCATGTATATGTGGCCGGTGAAACTTGTAACTAAAGACCACCGTGACTAGCGACCGGCCTGGTACTACAGACCACTTCGCCAGGCACGGACGGTCTCACATTCATAATGGTTGTGCGGTGCAAACCTCTAACTAAGGACCACCTGCCACTAAAGACCGCTTTCTCTGGCCCCAACGGGTAGTCGTTAGTTACAGGTTTTACTGTATGTGTCAGTGCATGGTGTATACATCATACTCAGTCTGCTCTGCCGTACAGGTAGTGCATGGTGTATACATCATACTCAGTCTGCTCTGCCGTACAGGTAGTGCATGGTGTATACATCATACTCAGTCTGCTCTGCCGTACAGGTAGTGCATGGTGTATACATCATACTTCTGCTCTGCAGTACAGGTAGTGCATGGCGTATACATCATACTTCTGCTCTGCAGTACAGGTAGTGCATGGTGTATACATCATACTTCTGCTCTGCCGTACAGGTAGTGCATGGCGTATACATCATACTTCTGCTCTGCAGTACAGGTAGTGCATGGTATATACATCATACTTCTGCTCTGCCGTACAGGTAGTGCATGGTGTATACATCATACTTCTGCTCTGCCGTACAGGTAGTGCATGGTGTATACATCATACTTCTGCTCTGCCGTACAGGTAGTGCATGGTGTATACATCATACTTCTGCTCTGCCGTACAGGTAGTGCATGGTGTATACATCATACTTCTGCTCTGCCGTACAGGTAGTGCATGGTGTATACATCATACTTCTGCTCTGCCGTACAGGTAGTGCATGGCGTATACATCATACTTCTGCTCTGCCGTACAGGTAGTGCATGGTGTATACATCATACTCAGTCTGCTCTGCCGTACAGGCAGTGCATGGCGTATACATCATACTTCTGCTCTGCCGTACAGGTAGTGCATGGCGTATACATCATACTTCTGCTCTGCCGTACAGGTAGTGCATGGTGTATACATCATACTTCTGCTCTGCAGTACAGGTAGTGCATGGCGTATACATCATACTTCTGCTCTGCCGTACAGGTAGTGCATGGCGTATACATCATACTCAGTCTGCTCTGCCGTACAGGTAGTGCATGGTGTATACATTATACTCAGTCTGCTCTGCCGTACAGGCAGTGCATGGTGTATACATCATACTTCTGCTCTGCCGTACAGGTAGTGCATGGTGTATACATCATACTTCTGCTCTGCCGTACAGGTAGTGCATGGCGTATACATCATACTTCTGCTCTGCCGTACAGGTAGTGCATGGCGTATACATCATACTTCTGCTCTGCCGTACAGGTAGTGCATGGTGTATACATCATACTTCTGCTCTGCCGTACAGGTAGTGCATGGTGTATACATCATACTTCTGCTCTGCCGTACAGGTAGTGCATGGTGTATACATCATACTTCTGCTCTGCCGTACAGGCAGTGCATGGTGTATACATCATACTTCTGCTCTGCCGTACAGGTAGTGCATGGTGTATACATCATACTTCTGCTCTGCCGTACAGGTAGTGCATGGCGTATACATCATACTTCTGCTCTGCCGTACAGGTAGTGCATGGTGTATACATCATACTCAGTCTGCTCTGCCGTACAGGTAGTGCATGGTGTATACATCATACTCAGTCTGCTCTGCCGTACAGGTAGTGCATGGTGTATACATCATACTCAGTCTGCTCTGCCGTACAGGCAGTGCATGGCGTATACATCATACTCAGTCTGCTCTGCCGTACAGGCAGTGCATGGCGTATACATCATACTTCTGCTCTGCCGTACAGGTAGTGCATGGTGTATACATCATACTTCTGCTCTGCCGTACAGGTAGTGCATGGTGTATACATCATACTTCTGCTCTGCCGTACAGGTAGTGCATGGCGTATACATCATACTCAGTCTGCTCTGCCGTACAGGTAGTGCATGGTGTATACATCATACTTCTGCTCTGCCGTACAGGTAGTGCATGGTGTATACATCATACTTCTGCTCTGCCGTACAGGTAGTGCATGGTGTATACATCATACTTCTGCTCTGCCGTACAGGTAGTGCATGGTGTATACATCATACTTCTGCTCTGCCGTACAGGTAGTGCATGGTGTATACATCATACTTCTGCTCTGCTGTACAGGTAGTGCATGGCGTATACATCATACTTCTGCTCTGCCGTACAGGTAGTGCATGGTGTATACATCATACTTCTGCTCTGCAGTACAGGTAGTGCATGGTGTATACATCATACTTCTGCTCTGCCGTACAGGTAGTGCATAGTGTACAACACGCCTGACGTGGAGATCCTCGCATGTGACACAGACATGTTCCATGCATGGCAGTCCGCCTGATAGCGGAATTGTGGGCTATGTATGGGGAAAGTCGTTGTACTCGATGCATTTTAACTTTTTCAGGTCTTTGGGCACCAAAATGTGTCATTAAATCCGATCTGTCGTTATTTTCGCGGTCAATATACCCGATCTAAAATGTACGCACGGGACTTGCTTAACGACCTGGGCAGCAGATTTGTGTCGCTAAGGGCGGCGCGTTCAGACTGGCGTAAAAAACAAGCGGAGTGTGAAAGTTGTCAAGGTGAATCGCTCACGTGACGTTACCGCCAGCGTAAACACGGAAAAGGTTTCCCACCACTCTGCAGGCCAGTGGAATGCAGATTCCGGCGGCACGCGGAGCGCTTTTGATATCCTTGCAGCACATGTTCCGTCTTTTCGTTTTATTTCAGCCTCTACTCTTGCAGTCTGACTGCATGCTTTTTGAGTTTTGAGTTTTGACTTCTAGACTGCCAACTTCTCCCATCATGCCGAAATCTTTGTTCGACTCAGCAATGGAGAGGGAGTTCACGGAGCTGTACGTGGTGATTTTTGCGGGCCGCTCTGCAGGCAAAACGCTTACTGCGAACGAGAAGCATACTCTGATCGCGGAGCGGATGAATGCCACCCAAGCACCAAACACTCGGGACATAGTATTCTTTCCGTCGACAAGCACAAGCAAAAGCACAATGATCCAGTATCTCAACAGACTGAATTAGTGTATTTTGATATCCAACTCAAACTGAGTCAACTCAAATTTTTCAAATGTCGAAGCTTCACATAATGTACTGGGCATTCCAGCGGGATACACGTGCAGTGTGATTGCGATTCCCGGGATTACGCTGCAGCTTTCCGGCGGCTATTCACGCCTGTCTGAACGCGCCCTAAACCCAATCTGTCGTTAATTGCAAGGTCGATATATCCGATCTCCGCTGTACCGTGACGTGAATGCTCGTTAACGGCAAGTAAGCACACTATGCTCACCACCCAGCAATTTGTACATCCGCTCGTCATCACGGTCAGTCATTTGAATTTACATCCGCTCGTCATCACGGTCAGGCATTTGAATTTACATCCGCTCGTCATCACGGTCAGGCATTTGAATGTACATCCGCTCGTCATCATGGTCAGGCATTTGAATCACCACAATTGCACGTGATGGACACTGAGCTTGTCAGGCATATAAGCATACACGAAAGCAGGGATGGTAGTGCAGAGGCCACTTCCGGGTTATGAGCAGGGTCTCGTGTGCGTGGTCATTTGCAAATTTTACAAATAGACTAGGCATTATGGGTGAAATTGATGCACGTATCATAGCAGCGAACCGGGCATTTTCCAGTGTATCATGGAAACGCCATACCCAGCAGTCCCGCTTAAGCATGTTCAACTGTCTCATTTTGCCAGTTCTCCTATATAACTGCGCGCTATGGACTCTAACAAAAGCCTTAGAAAGCAAAATTGATGTATGGCACCGCCGTAAACTCAGATACATACTTGGAATCATCTTTCCCAATAAAATTTCGAATAATGCTCTTTATGCTAAAACTGCTCAATGCCCAATAAGTGCAGTCTGTAGACGCCGGCGCTTATTATGGTTTGGACATGTCATTCGTGAAGGGAAGGACGCTGTGTCCTACAAAGCCCTTTACATGGCAATGAATATAGCAGATATAAAGAAGCCCAGAGGTCGCCCAGTGACCAGATGGGTAGACAACATTAGGAATGACCCTTTACTTCTCAATATGTCTCTTTTGGAAGCGGAGCAACTTGCCTCAGACAGAACGCACTAGCTCGACGTTGTCGACAGATGCATGACCCTCATTTGATTTTTCATATGAGCTATATGCGTGCTGTATTATTATTAATAGTAGGCATATACGCATAGCAGAAAGCAGGGCCTGGGGGTAGTACAATACCATTGTTGAATGCTCTACTCCCGTTCTATGAGCATCATGGTCTCATGTGTGTGGTCAATTAAGGGTTTTGAGAATTTCCCAGAAACTCAGTAATGTCCAACTCTCTGTCGATGCAGACCAAGGAGCGGGCTTCTCCAACACCGCCATCATCTAGACCTGGTACTTCGTCCGGTCACCGGGCCAGATTTGATGAGTGAGTTTCCCATGACTCGACAACTTTCCTAGCTCACGCATCCGCACTCTGTGCAGACACCGGCAAACACAGTGTAAAGCTGAGAATGCCAGGAATACACCCTTTTTTCTTTGCCGACCTTGGGCCTGCAGTTCATTTGGAAACAATTCAGCATCTCCATGTTAATCATTACTGGGCCGGTAGTGCTGGTATCATGGATTATGGTGTGGAGACTGGAAAGATGGACTCGGCTTTAAATGTCATGTACGACTCACCGCTCCGCAGTTGACTGTGATATGCATTCCATTTCTTTCTAATGCACATAGAACTGATGATTCTCGCCCACCATCCACACGCAGGACCAAACCCAGTACAAAGGCAACCTCTGGAGCAAGGGTGAGCGCTCATGCGGCATGTTTTTAAACGGGTTAAAATATGGCTTTACACACTAGAACATGTACTACACTGCCGGTGTTCTGTGTATCACATGGTCTATTCGGATGGAGACCCAAGGATGAATTTATTTTATAGGAAAGAAAAGGAGCAAGGATCTACAAGCTGTGCTCTAATGTCCAGTAATGCCTGCACCAAGATGTGCTAGAGGTAACTGGTAGTTTGTTGTAGAATGTCACGACCGTTGGTTATCGTCGTGCATTTTATCGCATGAGCTGAGTATCAAATAACTGGTGGTGTTAGTGGACAACAAAGCGTAACTTGTAGATCCTCAGTCTTCTTTCCCTGTACATGGTCTATTGTATAGGAATCCCTGTACATGGTCTATTGTATAGGAATCCCTGTACATGGTCTATTGTATAGGAATCCCTGTACATGGTCTATTGTATAGGAATCTCTGTACCCGATGACTGTGATGTTATTGAGCACACTAGCTGCTACTAGTAACTACCTTGACACCGCACTTGAAAAAGATGGTAGTTCTGGCAGCCTCGCTCGATTAAAGGGGAAGTTAAGGCAAAAATTAAAATTTCACCAGTTGTAGTCTTCGGGGTGCTGAGTTGAATGGTCTTGGTCCGAGAAAGCTGAGCCGCTCCCTTCCTACTTGAATCCCAATCGAACTCGCGCACTTCCACCGAAACTGGGTGACTGCGCCCTACTAGATGGGGATTTGTATGCAAAATGTCACTAAAAGCGCCATTTCGTTCTTATAAAAGCACGGATGACCGCGATTGGCCCATATGTTGTACTCTTTTGGACGCTGAGTCGACTGGTTTTGGTCCGAAAAGGCTGCGATGCAGCGTTCCTCCTTTATTCCCAATCGAACATGGTTGAACAAGCGGTCACGTGCTCCTGGGTGCCCAAATCACCTGGTCACCACGCCAGCAGGCGACAACTTTCACACCAAGGTTCAACTTGAGTGACAGGACTGCACCCAAAAAAGGTCAAACAGGCTAGTAAGTTGTACCCTGCAGGCACGGTGACCAGGTGACTGGCGTACGCAGGAGCACGTGACCGCTTGTTCAACCATGTTCGATTGGGAATAAAGGAGGAACGCTGCATCGCAGCCTTTTCGGACCAAAACCAGTCGACTCAGCGTCCAGCGTCCAAAAGACTACAACATATGGGCCAATCGCGGTCATCCGTGCTTTTATACGAGCGAAATGGCGCTTTTAGTGACATTTTGCATACAAATCCCCATCTAGTAGGGCGCAGTCACCCAGTTTCGGTGGAAGTGCGCGAGTTCGATTGGGATTCAAGTAGGAAGGGAGCGTCTCAGCTTCCTCGGACCACGACCATTCGACTCAGCACCCCGAAGACTACAACTGGTGAAATTTTAATTTTTGCCTTAACTTCCCCTTTAAAGTCTCCTCCAGCTGTATTCAGCGCCAATCAAAGACATGATCTTGTGTATTGAGGATTGTTTTATTTGTTCATCCTCAACAAGCTTTACAAAGTGATCTGTCCATTGTGTACTTATATGTGCCTGGAAACACACAATTTCGCTTGCTACAGCCCAAGACTGTCGGCATCGCTGCAAAGCGCAACACAGCTACAGGCCCATCGACTACGGCGACCGGCGCCCGGTAAGGCTTTCTGCCATAGTGTCCTAGATTAGGGATGGGGCCACTGCTTCCGTATGTGATACAACATCATGTGTGTGAGTGTGGTCAGTGTAGCAAAATGCATAAGTCAATGAAGCTGCAATGACATTACATTGTATGTGCACTCCGACCTGTTAGTGCCATTAACTGCCGTCTATGGCATGCTCTGTTGATATGTGGACGTGTTGTTCATTTTAGCCCCAACACCGCTGCCTCATTTATGCGCGCGTAAAGGAATAATGGAGAAAAGCAAGGCAACCTTTCTATAATGACTTGAAGACCCTTCATGCACCTTTCTATAATCTATCTAATGGTGGTCTATACCCACCAAGCATTGCACGCTCTATAATGTGTGTGATGCTTGGCGTGTTTAGACCACCACTTGAGAGGCCTTCTTTTTTGACAGGCTGCTTTTGTGAGTGGGACCTTCCTTTTTCAATATTTATTGTGCAGGCCACCATCTGCACCAACAAGTTTCCGTCGAACAACACGGCCGCCCAGTGGTGCTGGTGGTGCAGCCGCTGCAGCTGTCCTGCTAAGGGACAAAGAGGACAAAGACACTCCGACTGGCACCGAAGATGTGGCCGCCGCTAGTATCATGGACCAGGCAGCAGAGATTCTGGCCACAGATCAGTCGGATGAAATAGCTGTTGGTACGTTGTTTTGCTGTGAACTCTGCATTGCTGTGCTGTTGGATACGCACTAGCACTGCAGGCTCATTCCACCGCTAACTAGCCCAACACACTCTAGGGCTTGAGGATCACAGTATGCACGAGAGCAGTTGAGGAACACGTTTCGATGGCGCTGTTTCTGTTGCTGTTCAGGTGCTATAACACGTCTTCTGAAGGCCAGAGTAGTTGTCTTGCAGGAGGAACTGCAGTCCATGGCTGTAGAGAGTGTCACAAAGGTGAGCTTACCATGTGCTGCTACTACCAGCAGCGCCACCCTAGGGGCTGTATTCATACCGGTACTTCACCGTTAAAACAAGTCAATTGCGTTGATCAGAAAGAGAAAGAGAGAGAGAGAGAGAGAGAGAGAGAGAGAGAGAAAGAGAGAGAAACAGAGAGAGAGAAACAGAGGAAGAGAGAGAAAAAGGGAGAGAAAAAAGGGAAATAGAGAAAGAGAGAAAGAGAGAAAGAAAGAGAGAAAGAGAGAAAGAAAGAGAGAGAGGGGGGGGGGGGGGGGCGCTGACACTGCGATTGAGAGGGCCGCCTCTGCTCAGCACACCATGCTCTTGGTGGGTATAGCTCAAGTGCTGTGCACAGTCTTCCCCCTTTCCTCCGTGTGTTTACAGGACAACAAGATGAAGAAGCTCGATGGAGAAATGAAGCAGCTCCAGGAGGACAGGGCCCAGTTGACAAAGCAGGTACAAACTACCAAATCACAGCTGGAGAGGCAGGTCCAGCTGACAGATCATGCAAAGCAGACCTCTTCTAGCCTGGAAAAACAATTGTCTGGTGTTCGTAAGGTGAGTGGTATCGAATCTGCAGCTGCTGTCCTTCTTATTACATCCAGTGTTTTTATGTTTTGCGTTTGTTCTACGAGCCAGCTGGGCCCCTTGCTAATCGCATTTTCCCAGTCCAGGACATTGAGGTATGGTATTTGTCTGAGTATCAGATGCTATCCACTAGGGACGCCTCACCAATCATTGGTCCTTGTGTGTTTATAGTATGTGTGTGCACGGACACGTGTGTGTGTGTGTGTGCCTTGCGTACGTTGATTGGCGTTTTTTTGTCTTCGACAAACACGTGCCCTACCTAGGACTACGAGTCATCTCAGAGCACTATCAAACAGATGCAAGCTAGTCAAAGTGCACTGGAAGTCAGGTGAGTGCATGTACTGTAGTGTAGTAACTGTACAGTATCATCATATCTCTAGTGTACTTCTCTATGTGGCGCTTGCTGAACACGCTTTCCTCTGAAATCTAATTATGTTCATTCTTTCTTTTTATTTATTTCTTTTTCCTGCTCTTGCCATGGCTGGCTAATGCCCCCTCCTTTGTATTGGCTTCTGCCATTGGACGGTGAAATAAAATAAAATAAATAAATAAATCCACGCAGGCAAGGTTATTTGAAATCCACTGCTTTTGGTAAGGGGTATGCATTGCAGGACATTTCCTGGCTCACCTCTAAAATAGGTTTTAAAGACGAACGTTGGCTTCTTTACATTGTTCATCGAGTGCCAGTGCTTCCACCGGGTGTTTGAGTGTTGCTGGTTGTGTTTTTGCATCTCTAGTTGGCACCAGGCTACACACGTGTAAGCGCACAGTCCAGTACACTATACTCATGTTGCAACATTCTCCGCTACTGTTTGTATTGAACAGATTGAACCGTGCACTGGAAGAGGTGGAGCGCTGCAAAGCATCCATGCACCAGAGAAGTAGCCAGGCAAAGGTCAGACATGGATATTACGCTCTTTTCTTAGACAGAAGGATGACATGTCACGCTTGAACCAATACAGCTTTCCTGTACTAAGTAACGTCATGTATCAGCATTCCAACTGCAGGTGCTGAACGGTGAGATCCAACATGAGAGCTGTGCGGCAAGTTGCTTTTCGTCATGTCGTGTCAGCCCCCGGTGTGGCACATTGTCTTTTACTGGCTCAAGTGTGTTGTCATAGTAAGCACAGTGTTCCCATGGTGCTCACAGTGTTGTCATGGTGATCACAGTGTTGTCATGGTGATCACAGAGTTACGAGTATGACTAGCAGATAACTTGCAGTTCTCAATTATGACACTGGGCATTGTGATACGCTGGCTTTGTTGTATGCTTTCTGCAGGAGACAGCAGATCACAGTAGACAACTTGTAGAGCAGTTACAGAAGCAGGCCAAACAGCATGAAAAGCAGAAAGCGGACCTCATCGCCATCTTCAAGAAACAACAGAAACTAATCGACGTGCTCAAGCAGCAAAAGGTAAATTTGTGGATTTGCTCACACGAAAGGTTTACACCAGTTACATACATGCACATGAAGTACTCAAATCTGCGGACAGAATTGTTTCATCCTTTGTCGATTCATGAGCTCAGCAGAGAGAAAATGAGGCCGAACCTGATAGCAATGAGACATGCAGTACACTGGACACGTATGCAGCAGCAGTAGTAAAGCAGCAGTAGTAAAGCAGCAGTGGTAAAGCAGCAGTGGTAAAGCAGCAGTGGTAAAGCAGCAGTGGTAAAGCAGCAGTAGTAAAGCAGCAGTGGTAAAGCAGCAGTGGTAAAGCAGCAGTGGTAAAGCAGCAGTAGTAAAGCAGCAGTAGTAAAGCAGCAGTAGTAAAGCAGCAGTAGTAAAGCAGCAGTGGTAAAGCAGCAGTGGTAAAGCAGCAGTGGTAAAGCAGCAGTAGTAAAGCAGCAGTAGTAAAGCAGCAGTGGTAAAGCAGCAGTGGTAAAGCAGCAGTGGTAAAGCAGCAGTGGTAAAGCAGCAGTAGTAAAGCAGCAGTAGTAAAGCAGCAGTAGTAAAGCAGCAGTGGTAAAGCAGCAGTAGTAAAGCAGCAGTGGTAAAGCAGCAGTAGTAAAGCAGCAGTGGTAAAGCAGCAGTGGTAAAGCAGCAGTAGTAAAGCAGCAGTGGTAAAGCAGCAGTGGTAAAGCAGCAGTGGTAAAGCAGCAGTAGTAAAGCAGCAGTAGTAAAGCAGCAGTAGTAAAGCAGCAGTAGTAAAGCAGCAGTGGTAAAGCAGCAGTGGTAAAGCAGCAGTGGTAAAGCAGCAGTAGTAAAGCAGCAGTAGTAAAGCAGCAGTGGTAAAGCAGCAGTGGTAAAGCAGCAGTGGTAAAGCAGCAGTAGTAAAGCAGCAGTAGTAAAGCAGCAGTAGTAAAGCAGCAGTGGTAAAGCAGCAGTGGTAAAGCAGCAGTGGTAAAGCAGCAGTAGTAAAGCAGCAGTAGTAAAGCAGCAGTGGTAAAGCAGCAGTGGTAAAGCAGCAGTGGTAAAGCAGCAGTGGTAAAGCAGCAGTAGTAAAGCAGCAGTAGTAAAGCAGCAGTAGTAAAGCAGCAGTGGTAAAGCAGCAGTGGTAAAGCAGCAGTGGTAAAGCAGCAGTGGTAAAGCAGCAGTGGTAAAGCAGCAGTGGTAAAGCAGCAGTAGTAAAGCAGCAGTAGTAAAGCAGCAGTAGTAAAGCAGCAGTGGTAAAGCAGCAGTAGTAAAGCAGCAGTGGTAAAGCAGCAGTAGTAAAGCAGCAGTGGTAAAGCAGCAGTAGTAAAGCAGCAGTGGTAAAGCAGCAGTAGTAAAGCAGCAGTAGTAAAGCAGCAGTAGTACACTGGACACGTATGCAGCAGCAGTACAGCAGTAGTACATGTAGATGTATGCAGCAGCAGTAGTAGTACAGCTGAATATGCACCATCAGGGTGTATTGCAAGAAGGGAGGGAGCACACTCCATGCTTAGTGGCACGTACACGAAACAACACCCACCCGGAAGAAATAGACACACAGGCTACTAGCCTCACTGGTCTAGCCACAGGCTGTCTTCCACTGTGTTTTTGCTCCTTCAAATCCTGAAATGAATTCTAGTCAGGTTCACCTCTAATGTTGCATTGTATAAGAACCTTGTTTACGTACACACTGCAGGTATTTGACAATAAACACAGTTAACATTCTACTCTGTGAGTTTAATATTCCCAGTGCGGCAACAATGCGAACTTTCTCAGGAACCCCTTTGGAGATCGATTGTTGTTGCTTTCTGCCATCATCTATCCCCGGCTTGCTGCAGATGCATATTGAAGCTGCACGCGTCCTGGAGTTCAGTGAAAAGGAGTTCATTAGCCTGTTGGACTGGGGGAGTTCAAGCTAAACCCAGTGCACTGCACCCTGCAGTATGTTCTCTGCAGAATAGTCCATTCTACTCGGCAGAGGTTCTTGTCTTCTGCAATGAGTGAATGGTACTCGGCGTGCACCCGGTATGCGTATAGTCTCTCAACGATGTGGTACAATGGTACTGCACGTCAAGCTGTCTTCGAGCATCCAGCGCATCATGGAGCCATCTACAGCCTCGGAGTGGAGATCACTGTAGTCCTGTACTCCTCTACTGTAGGCCTGTACAAAGCCAGTGCCCATCGTATCTGCCACTGTTGTGATTCTTGGACTCAAAGCAAACTCATCACTATGCCATGCGGTATATGCTGTATTCTTACCGTTACGGTACTAGTGCACACACCGAAAGCAAAGGTCTGTTTAGCTGTAACTTCAACTTCACGCATCCTAGCAATCATTAGGCAGCCGCCGCATTCACCCGACATGATCGCTAGGATGCCTGTCACTTGAGGTTACAGATGAACTAAACTAAGTGACAAACGCCTTCGGTGTGTGTGTGTGTGTGTGTGTGTGTGTGTGTGTGTGTGTGTGTGTGTGTGTGTGTGTGTGTGTGTGTGTGTGTGTGTGTGTGTGTATTGCTCATGGCATTTGTGCATTGTACTTTTTTCGAGTTGCCTCGACCGACCCTGTTTGTGTTCTTACCACCATGTTCCAATGGTAACTCGCCCTTGATTATAAGTCGCAGCCCATATTCACGTCCGAGCCAAATCAGTGTCTTACTACATTCACATTAAAGTGAGAAATCACACTCAACTGTAAGTCGCACCTCCTTCTTTTCCCTTGAAGTTTAGTGTAATTGCTAACACATTCACAACTCGAGGCCGCCATGCCGACAATGCATTCTATACGGAGGTAACATTGCACCTAAATCTCTCTTCTCAAGCGCTGTGTTTCTCATTTGGCATTCACCCAGTGTGTTTGTTTTGGATCTGAGACTGAAGCCATGCTTCAACACTTTTCTGATGCCCGATCAAGGCCAAGGGTCACTATCCACCGTCAGGTTCACTGTAAGAAGCCTAGCGGGTCAGTTGCTCGTAACACTCGAGCTTGCGCTTTCCACGCCGGCTTGACTTGACACCTGGCTGACTCACGATTGCTGCCCAGAACACACGAGAAGTCCATCGAACCTTCGACTCGGGCAAGCCTGCAAGAAAGTGGCACCACTCCCTCCCTGCTCAATGCGCAGTGTTGCAGGGAATTCACCCCTCATCAGTTGAGCCCAAGTAGATCGAGGAAGATAATGGATTGTGCTAATCTCCGAACAGAAAGCACCAATTTCTAAGTGCTCTCCAGGCCAAATGATCACCAGGGATGCAGACTTACAGAGACTCTCCATTTTCAGCACTGTAGGCGTGGCTGATGCTGATTCCGGCACTTGCAGTTGTTCGACGTATCCCCCCCCCCCCCCCCCCCACCACCGTTACGCCTTGCGCCTGCCACCGGGTGTTAGCCCCCCCCCCCCCCCTCCACATGAGTTCCCTGGGGAATTGAGCCGAAAGTTTCTTTTGTTCCTGCGGCAATCCTCTTCAAATTGTCGTGTGCCCAGCCTTCCTGGGGTATTGGTACCCGTCTACCAATGATGCCCAGGCCCGGGTTTTGGCACCCGGTCTACCAATAAATCCGCCATGGAACTATGGGGTGAGCCCAGGGATGCATGCTAGCCACTTGGGCTGCTAAAATCGCTTGTTCTGATGCATGCTAGCAGTCACGTGCTTTAGGCCAAATTAGGGGCTGCAGCCTGCATGGCCTCTTTTAGCAGTGTAGTCTTACATTCGCCGCAAGGTCGGAAGCCCCTTTGTAGCATATTGCCGCCGGCTGTGCTGACGCGGGCAGAGTCGTGACTTCGTCTTTGCATGCCGGTAGGCCTGTAGGTAACATGGTAACGATAGGCGACGTGGAGACAATCATTTTTTTTAAATAGTGCAATGAACAAAACTATAATGCGCACTTATATCACAACCAAAGCAACTAAGCTACTGAGTGTGCTGAGCAGCGAACAGATTGCAACTGATGATGAGCTACGCATCATTTGGTACCTCATGTCAAACACCACTCTTGAGGTCAGGGTGGAATCAGCAAAATCATCTGCCTTTCCAACTACGAAAGGCATTCCTCAAGGAGATGGCCTTTCGCCGGTCCTATTTACAGTTTACCTCGAAGCCGCTCTGCGTGACCTTCGTTCAGTCCTGCCACCGAGACCAGCTGCAGATGAACACCTACCGGCAGAAACAGCTTATGCTGATGACGTAGACTTTATCTCAACGTCCAAAGCCTATCTTGACCAGCTTCTGTTGCTTGCGGAGAGCACCTTCAACACATGGGATCTAAAAGTTAACGTTACAAAAACAGAATGGATCAGAATATACCTAGAACCAACGGCACAGTCAGCAGTAACACACCAGTCCGTTATTCGAGGACAGGAGCCTTGGAGAACGGCAGGGAGTTGTATAGTCTATACAACTCCCTGGAGAACGGTAAAGACACTTGGCTCCTTGTATGGATCATGCTATAATGTAGCACGGCGAATTAGCCTTTCCGCAGCGGCATTTGGGCGCATGAAAGAGATTTGGCTCCGGCGACAGCACCTAACAACTAACACCATGATGAGGCTGTACAACGTATACGTCCTCCCGATTCTTACGTACAATATTGGCTGTGCAGGCTTGTCAAAGGCACTGGAAGACTCCCTCGACAAGAGCCATCGAAAGCAGCTTCGTCACATGCTTGGCATCCTTTATCCGAAAATCATCACAAACAACGATCTGTATAAGCTCACCAACACCGAGCCAATATCTGGAATTGCGAAGCGAGCTAGATGGCGGTTACTCGGGCACATTCTACGCCAACCAATCGGCACACCAGGGAACCAAGCAATGATGGCATACCTAACTGCAGAGGAAACAACTAAACACAGGAAGGGAGCACCTCGGTCCTGCCTGGTAACCACCCTTCAGCGAGACTTAAAGCAAACTGCAGTTGCGCTGAAGACGAATCGACACCTAGACACGCTCCGGGACTTTGCGGCCGATCGAACGAGATGGGGCAACATCTGCTCGGCCATCACATGAACATATGGGCTGTCTTACGTGTGTGGACGGTGCTTGTGCTCACTACTATATCAGGGTCTACAGGCATTCGAAGCACTGATTGTATCTGTATTATTTTGTACTCAATGTATGCAACACTATTATCTCCACATCACCATGTTTTTATTTTTGTTTATGTTTTTTCACTCCATTGTCGTGAGTTCCCCTTGGGAACGGATACGAGAATAATAATAATAATAATAATAATAATAATAATAATAATAATAATAATAATAACCTTGGAGTACCTTGGAGTAGTGCAAGCAGCCATGATACCTCACCCGAAGCTCAAGACGCAACTCACTGCAGAATACAAAAAGAGATTGTATTTGCTTCTTAACAGTGGATTGAATGCGCGAAACATGATCAAGGCCATCAATACGTATGCTCTGCCGGTTATGACATATAGTTATGGAATCGTAAATTGGACCGAGGCTGAAATCAAGACCACAGATCGAGTGACAAGATCAGCCTTGACTGCGTCTGGATTTCACCACCCCAAAGCCTCAGTCAACAGGCTCTACATGAAGAGGGGAGATGGAGGCCGGGGCTTGGTCTCTTGTGAGGATATGCACGGCCGGAGCATGTGTGGCCTGGCCCGCTACATGAGTACCAGCCCAATAGACAGAATAAGCCTGCTTTATCAGTATCATCAACAAAAACCTACAACAAAAAGCCACTCAATAACTGCAAAGGCCGCTAAGTTCCTGTCGAGTTTGGATCTGCCAGCAGCTGGACCAGCTTTACCCAATAAGCATACCATTAAACAAGCGTGCGCTGAGCGAAAATCCAAAACACTTTCCACTATGCCGCTGCATGGGAGGTATTGGAGCCGATTGGAGGAGAATCGCCTAGATAAGGAGCTTACCTTCATGTGGTTGAAATCAAGGACACTGAAACCTTCAACTGAAGGCATGATTATGGCAGCACAAGACCAATCCCTCAAAACGAAAAATTACCAATACGCCATAATGAAGTCAATTCCTCGAACTGATGCCAATTGCAGGCTTTGCAAGGGCAGCTTAGAAACAATTGACCACATTGTCAGTGCCTGCCCAGTTCTGGCTCGGACCAGTTACATTGAACGACATAACCGGATAGTAAAGTATGTGCACTTCGAAATGTGTAAAGCACGAGATCTACCTACTGGTGCTTCACGATTCGACCACCAGCTCAAGGCATTGGTCAAGAGTAATCAGTATCGCCTCTATTGGGAGTATTCGGTCCCAACTGACCTGAAACTATCAGCAAACAGGCCCGATCTGCTCCTTGTTGATGACAAGGAGCGCATCGCCTACATTATAGACATCAGCGTTCCTGGTGAGAACAACATCAATAAGAAAATGGCTGAAAAGCGCTCGAAATATTATGATTTGAAGCGGGAGATTTCGAGGATTTGGTCTCTCAACCAGGTTGACGTGGTCCCTGTGGTTGTCGGTGCCCTGGGAGGCTTGGTGGGGGAGACTCCTCAATGCCTTCGGACTGTGCAGGGAGGAGACCTGGCTATTGTGCAACAGGAGGCTATACAAGGTTCGATTAAAATACTGAGAACTATCCTTAACATGTAGATGCACCTCTGCTGCGTTTGCATGTCCAATAGCTAAGAGACTTGAATAACGACTGATAAAGACTGATATTTCCTTTGTTACTACTCCCTTCATTGGTTGATGTATTTTGCCTGTCGCTGCAAATTCTTTATTATTGTTTTGATGTTGGAGTTCGGATTGAGTTTCTTTCCTTTCTTCCTCTTCCTTCAACTAGTTCTTGTCCCTTTGGTTTTTAGGTTTTATTTATTTATTTATTTTTGTTTTTGTTTTTTCACTTTCTTTTTGCTGTCCCACCCATGGAAATATTTCCCGGTGGGTCTGGCTTATCGCCTTCGAAAGAAGTGAATAAAGGAGAAATAATAATAATAATAATAATAATAATAATAATAATAATAATAATAATAATAATAATAATAATAATAATAATAATAATAATAATAATAATAATAATAATAATAATAATAATGATGCCAATTGCAGGCTTTGCAAGGGCAGCTTAGAAACAATTGACCACATTGTCAGTGCCTGCCCAGTTCTGGCTCGGACCAGTTACATTGAACGACATAACCGGATAGTAAAGTATGTGCACTTCGAAATGTGTAAAGCACGAGATCTACCTACTGGTGCTTCACGATTCGACCACCAGCTCAAGGCATTGGTCAAGAGTAATCAGTATCGCCTCTATTGGGAGTATTCGGTCCCAACTGACCTGAAACTATCAGCAAACAGGCCCGATCTGCTCCTTGTTGATGACAAGGAGCGCATCGCCTACATTATAGACATCAGCGTTCCTGGTGAGAACAACATCAATAAGAAAATGGCTGAAAAGCGCTCGAAATATTATGATTTGAAGCGGGAGATTTCGAGGATTTGGTCCCTCAACCAGGTTGACGTGGTCCCTGTGGTTGTCGGTGCCCTGGGAGGCCTGGTGGGGGAGACTCCTCAATGCCTTCGGACTGTGCAGGGAGGAGACCTGGCTATTGTGCAACAGGAGGCTATACAAGGTTCGATTAAAATACTGAGAACTATCCTTAACATGTAGATGCACCTCTGCTGCGTTTGCATGTTCAATAGCTAAGAGACTTGAATAACGACTGATAAAGACTGATATTTCCTTTGTTACTACTCCCTTCATTGGTTGATGTATTTTGCCTGTCGCTGCAAATTCTTTATTATTGTTTTGATGTTGGAGTTCGGATTGAGTTTCTTTCCTTTCTTCCTCTTCCTTCAACTAGTTCTTGTCCCTTTGGTTTTTAGGTTTTATTTATTTATTTATTTTTGTTTTTGTTTTTTCACTTTCTTTTTGCTGTCCCACCCATGGAAATA